AAAAAAAGGTAGCACTCTATTTAAATATATCCTTAAAAATATGTATCTTCTAGAACTGGGTGTGGGCACACACCTGTAATCTCAGCACTTGGTAGACTGAGGCAGGAGGATCATTGCTGTTAAGTTTTTTTTTTTTTGATGCAGTTGAGAGACAAAGAGAGAGAGAGGCAGAGATTAAAAACAGCCTTTATTGCGAGCACTGGAGGGTTACTGAAGACTGCAAGGACCCTCAAAAAAGGGGATAGTTGGGGAATAGCCTTTATGGAGTTGGGCTGGGGGTAGAGTGTGCTTGGGTAGTTATTATGGAGTCTTGGGATTAGGAAGGGTTTGGCAAATGTGTGAAAAGGGAGTGGGAGGTTTATTTTTGGAACTAGAAGAAGAATGCAGAAGTTACTTTTGGAGAGATATGCTGCAGTTTTTCAGGACCCAGTGCCAAATTGTGTGGATGCCATGTTAGAGATACCAAGCCTCAGGCTGGCAGAGCCCTTCAGTTGCAAGCTCAAGACCAGCCTGGGCTATACAGTGAGCTTAAGACCAGCCTAAACTGCACAGTGAAACCCTGTTTCAAAAAGACAAAAAAAAAAATTTTTTTTTTCTTTTTGTCTTTTTCATTTTTATCAGTACCGGGGATCGAACTCACGACCGCCTGCTTGCAAGGCAGGTGCTTATGCCGCTGAGCTAAACCCCTAGCCCCAAAATTTTTTTTCCAATCAGGCAATAGGACTGCACACTTCTAGTTCTAGCTACTGAGTAGATTGAAGCAGGAGGCTCAGTTAAGCCCCACAGTTTAGGGCTAGCCTGGGGTAAATCGTGAGATCCTGATTCTTAAAACAATAAAAAAATGTAACTTATAGGTACATAAAAATTAAGAGTGCTTACAGCTGAAAAACAGTTCCTTTGGGTTTGCTAGCCTTAAAAATACTGTTTTATTTGCTGGGCATGGTGGCACGCACCAGTAACCCCAGCACTTGGGAGGCTGAGGCAGGAGGACCTCCAGTTCAAGGCCAGTCCAGATCATATGTGAGACCCTGTGGTAAAAACTTAAAAATTTTTCCAATGCCGGTGATAGAACCCAGAACTACACACACACACACACACACACACACACACACACACACACACACGGCAAGCATCTAACCAAGTGGCACTCCTAGAACCTTGCTGATTCTAGCTGGGAACAGAAACAGTGGACGAACACTGCCTTCTTGTGCTAGTAAAGGACAAGGAGGCAGCGTGGCTCAGCCCCTCAGCGCTCACATAGTCTCCCTACCGAGACCCGCGAAGGCGCGGTGCCCCTGCCGGCCTCCAGCGGCCTCTGCAGCTGCTGGCCCCGCCCCCACTGAACCGCAGCTTCGCGCAAGCGTTGTGGCTCCGCATGCCCGAGCTCCGCCACGGGTGCCGTCCCCTCGCTGCAGTGTCCCCGCCTCGCTGCTGCTTCCTAGTTGAGCGTTCAGTCGCCTCCATCTCTCTTTGCCGCGTCTCTGACGTGCCGCCCCTTCCTGCCCTCTCGCCCCCGTTGTGCCCGCGTTCAGTGCCCGTAGCTCCGCACCCCGGGCCTGGCTCCTGCCCTTCCCGGAGGTCCCGCCCCTGTCCCAGGGAAGCTCCGCCCCTGGCTGGCGAGGCCCCGCCCTGCCTCCTGAACTCCGCGTCTTGGCGCGCGGTCATCTGAGGACAACTCGGGTGACCGCAGCCGCCGCCCCAGCCGGTCCTACCCGGTCCTGGAAGCGGCTCGCAGCCCGCGCTGGCAAGGAGCGCGTTTGCAGACGCGGCTTGCGTAGGAACCGCCCGGAGCCTTTCCTGGCAGTTGGGGCCCCCTGCACGCGCTTCCCTGGTGCTTGTGGCCGTGCCAAGCCTCGCAATGCGAGTTAAGTTAGGGCGTGAAAGCATTTGCTACTGGTTTGGAAAACAGCTTAAATTTAATTATGGGAGGCTTACTGTCTTTTTTTGCTGGGCTCTCTGAAAACTTCCAGAGGTCGTCCAACACAGCTGTTTTGCGCGCGCGCGCGCACACACACACACACACACACACACACACACACACAGACTCCTCAGGTCACTCCCAAACACTCCAGATGGGGTGAGTTCAAGGCCAGGCTGAACAACATAGCAAGACCCTGTCTTGAAAAACTAACAACTAAACTAAAGAAAGCTATTTGTTAACCTATTTTTAAAGTAAATTAACATTTGAGGGGAGGGGATAGAAAGGAAATCCCTTTGTGTCTTTGGTTTTGAGATTGGATCTTGTTACATAGTCCAGGTTGGCCTGGCCTTGAACTCTGTGAGCCTAGGCTGGCCTCAAATTTCCCATCGCTCTGCTTAAGTCTTCTGGGATTCCAGGTATGCACCACCTTGCCAGCACATTTAGACTTTAATGATAGCTTTGGAATGGCCCGACAAAATGGAAACAAAAGCTAGGCTGTGGCACAGCTGCGATCTCACCTCTCGGGTGCCTAAGGCAGGAGGATCTTTATGAGCTCAAGGTTTGCCGGGATTACAGAGTGAGACCCTGTCTCAAACACACACACACATACACACACACACCCCAAAACAATTTTTAAAAGCCTCCCAAAAAACTACCTAGTAAATTTCTCCTTTAGAGACAAGTGGGAAATTCTGAATGAACCTCTAAAAAGCATGGATAAGCATTATGATCACCCAGTTGCCTGGACCTCAGAACTCCCATGAGCCTCTGTATCTGCACTACAGTGAACTCCTGGGCTCCTCCTCGGCTGCCTGGGTCTGGCCTGAGTCTTTATTCCCTGGCACAAAGGACCTGGCTCTCCCGGAGCAGGTCAGGCAGCAGCTGCACCTCACTAAAGTGATGGGTGTGTGTTTGTGACGTCTGCAAAGCCAACCATCCCTTCCTGGTAATATGCAAAGTATCTCCGTGGCCCAACAAGCAGGTCTGGCCAGTGGTGTGACAGGTGGGGCCTCTGTGACGCTGGAGTGCAGCAGGACCCATTCATAGGGTCAATGTTCACTGTGCGCCACAATCCTCATCTACAAGCTCAGGTCCAAAAAGCTCAGAAACCAGTTTTTCCTAACCCATTCAGTGGTTCACACTGACCTGAATGGCCTTAAAGCTATTTAAAGGTTTTCCTTATCCTCTTCGTTTTAGAGTTTCATACATTTTACCATAGAAATTATACTCTAATTACAGGTGACTGCTCAGTCCCCATTGGGTATAGTAAGCAAAAGTCCAGGCTCTGTACACCTTCCTGAAATCCAGAGAATCTAAACTATGAAACACATGGCTCCAGGGTTGTGGGCAAAGACTGTGGCCCTGCTCATAAAAAAGTGCTTAAAACAGTGCCATGAGCCATAGGTGATGGCACATGCCTGTAGTCTCAGCACTGGGAAAGCTGAAGCAAGAGGGTTGCCATGAGTTCAAGGTCAGCCTAGGCTATATAGCAACACTGTCTTAAAAACAAAACAAAACAAAAATTGCCTCGAACAAGCTATTATAGGTGTCATCTCTTATGAGCAGTGGAGTCACAAAAATGGCAGATAGTTATTTAGTTTTTTGTGGAGTTAATAATTGTCTTGGTTTCTGTTTGCTTAACTTTTAATGTGTCAATTACAAATTTTTTATGTACTATTTATTCAAAAATGTCCTTTTAAAATAAAATGCCCAGGGGCTGGGGATTTAGCTCAGCGGCATAAGCGCCTGCCTTGCAAGCAGACAGTCGTGAGTTCGATCCCTGGTACCAATAGAAAAAGAAAAAGAAAATAAATAAATAAATAAATAAATAAAATAAAATGCCCATACACCAGACATAGATGGGCACTAAAGCACTCACATTTTGTGCCTGTCCTTCATCACAATGTGTGTGATATATCCTGTCCTCTGCTGTCTCTGTGACGGTTCCTTAATGAGGACCTGCACCCCCCCCCCCCCCCGATCTCTCCATCTGATCAAACTGGGGACTTAAAACCTCTCTCTCAAACTGGGGGGATAGGCCTATGGAACAGGCCACAGGGTGGGACTGGTCCTTGGTGGGCCACCCCCCAGGTCACCCTCAGTCACCCCAGATCTGGTGAGCTCAAGGCCAGGCAAGACCTAGCAAGACCCTGTCTTGAAAACTAAAACATTAAACTAAAGAAAGCTATGTGTTAAACTATTTTTAAAGTAAATTAGCATTTGAGGGGAGGGGATGGAAAGGGAATGGAAGTCTGTGGTGTGCAGTGAGTGTAGCCAGCGAGATGTTTTTAAAATGAAACAAGAAAAATACACTGTATATTCTTTGGAGAATATTTTTCGCAGTACTCTAGAGTATCAAAATACATAGAATAACCAACTAACAACAAAACTGAAAAAACAACCTGTGCGAGTGGCGTTCACTCCAACCACCTCTTCCGCTGGTTCTCTGGTCTGTTCCATCGTACCATCATTGTCTGCTCCACTGTAAGGATGTTCCAACCATACATTACAGTCTCTATCAACTAGCTGCAAAAACGAAAATAGTATTTTTTTTTTTTGTACCAGGGATCGAACTCATGACCTTGCACTTGCCAAGCAGGCATTTATGCCATTGGAGCTAAATCTTCAGCTGGAAATAGTATTTTTAATGATAAAAAATAAAATCTGCACAGAGTGGTGGCAAACACCTGTCATAGGGACTCTGAGGCAGGAGGATCGCGAGTTGCAGGCCAGCCTGGACCACATGGCACTCTTTTTATTTTTGTACCGGGACTCGAACTCAAGACCTCACACTTGCCAGGCAGACCCTGTGCCACTGAGCTGTATCCCCGGCCACAATGGACTCTACACTCAAGACCAAAACAAACGGGCTTTGCTTTGATTACGAATGCGGGAAATTATCAATAACGGCCATCCACGTAGACACCCAGACAACGTCCGGACACCCAGACAAAGTCCAGGTAGGAAGCGACCCGCAACCGAACTCAGGCGCTCCGCCGCAGACAGAGCGCGGCGGAAGAGGAGACGCCGGCAAGGGGCGGGGCTCCCTGACGCGGAACCGGAAGTCGATCTCGGCCGGAAAGTAGTCCGGTCCGTGGGGCTTTGCGACGCTGTCGCGTCCTGTCCCCACCGAACCGAGAAACGCGACGCGGCTGCCGGGCGGCGGAGGTGCCGCGGTGCGGTGCGATGGCCGACATGGAGGATCTCTTCGGCAGCGACGCGGACAGCGATGCGGAGCGCAAAGGTGGGGCCCGGGCTCCGGCCGAGGAGCGCCCTGCGGAGTGTGTGGGCCCGGCCGCGCCCCCTTTTTCGCGGGCCGGGTGCGGGATTCGCGGTGCCCGGGGACGTGCAATGGCCACGGGCGCCGTCAGCGGGAGATCGGGGGAGCGGGGTAGCTGGCGTGGCGGTGCGGGAAATGTGCGGGTCTCGGCTTAAGGAGGAGCAGCGGAGGGCTGTCGTGGCTTGGACGGACGGACAGATGTTCACGGGGGGGGGTGGAGGGTGGAAGAATTATGTTCGCGATGGGTGCAGGTGTAGAGGGGTGGACGGAGGTTAGGGTGGGTGGAGGGATGGATAGTGGTTGGCGGGATGTTCATGGTGGGTGCAGGGGTGGAGAGATGCGTGTACGGTTTGGTGGATGGATGAGTGCATAGATGTTCAGTGGTAGGCCGAATAGATGCTCAGAACGGCTGACTGGATGTTCATGGTGGATGGATATTCGTAGTAGATAGATGGATGGGTGGAGAGATGGATGGGTGTTCATGGTGAGTACAGTGATGGATGGATATTCATGGTGGATAGATAGGTCCATAGGTGGAGGGGTGGATGGGTGTTTGTGGTAGATAGATGCATGGGTGGAGGGATGGATTGGTGTTCATGGTGAATGCGTATTTATGGTGGATGGACGTGTCCTGCACTGGCACTGTGGATGTCTAAGTTTAAAATACAAAGAGGGGTTCTTTGAAGTTTTGCACCAAGCTCAGAACTCTTACAACCCTCTAAGCTCAAAGCAGTTGTCTCTATCCATTTTTTCCTTATCTAAGTGTGTTGTTGTGGTTTTTCGTTCTTTATCTCCTGCATTTCCCCCAGTTCATCTTATTCATGATTTCCCGGGCACAGTGAAAAAAGGCGTAGAGGAGGTACAGAGACCCACCTGCACTCTTGGATGTGGGTCCTGCTGGGCGATGGCCAGGAGAAAGGTGATCCAGAGAAACGTTCCGCTTCCGCTCCCTTTTTAGGTGCTGGGGATAAACTAATTACGCTGATACCTAATGTAAACACTTGGATGGGTACAAGGATTTAGTGCATCCTTATTGCAAGCCTAACGATGGGGAAGTGATGCATGGAAATGCTTGGTTTTCTAGGTCTCGTTTTTGTTTTTGAAAAGCTCCTTGTAAACCTCTTGCAGCTTTCTTCCATCTCACTGCTAGTTAAATAGACTCTAGGGTTTGCTCCCAAGTTGGTCCTGCTGCACTTGCAGGTTGCTGCTGTTCCTGAGGGTGGCATGGATGTGACAGGATTATGCCTGGCGTTTTTATCTCCTGGACCCTGAGAATTGTAGAAAACAGAAGACAGTCCCTACTAGATCCAGTGTGCTGCTTTTATAAATGAGCCAGATCTTCTATTTACTTATTTATTTTATAAGTTTTTATTTTAAAGAGAATAAAACCAAGCAAAATAAAACAGAATAAAGCCAATCAAAACAAAACAGTGTAAGTGACACAGGATTTCAAAACAAGGTAATAGGAAATCAACAATGGCCACCATAATGCCTCTTGTTGTCTTAAAAAAAAGCTGCCCATACCTTCAGACACAATAACATCAAAGAGAACAGAACAGAGCAGAATAGAATCAATAAAAACAAAACAATGAATGCAGCACCGGACTTCAAAACAAGATAATAGTAAATCCAGATTTTTTATTCTTTCAACATTGTTTAGTAGTTTTCCTGGAATAAATGCTGCGCTTCTTAAGTTACATTTATTGCGAAGTGTTTTAGTGTTTTTGATACTACTGCAGGTGGAATTGTATCTTTAATTTCACTTTGGATGGTGTATTCCTAATGTTTACAAACTGAATTTTGTATGCGGATTTTTTTTATCCTGCAACCATGCTTGATGTATTAGCTGTAGTTTGGATGCTTCAAGGTTTTCTCCAGGACAGAGCATGTTGTCTATGAATATGTGACAGCTTTACTTTCCCCAGATTCCATGTATGTGTCTTACGGGCGTAATTGCCCTGGCTAGCGCTTTCCATAGCATGATTGGTCCTTATTTAAAAGAAAGCATTTCTGGGTTCATCATTATCATGATGTCAGCTGTGGGGTTTTGGTAGCTGCCCTTTTTCCTCTATGGTGCTGGGGATTGAACCCAGGACCTTACAAATGCTGGGCAAATGTTCTGCCGTAGGTCCGCATCCGCAGCCCTTTTGTTTGTTTAGAGACAGCACCTGCTTAGTTACCTAGGCCAGCCTCAAGTGTGAGGCCCTCTTGCCTTGGCGGAAAGCTGCCACACCTGGCTCAGGGGTGCTCCTTACCTTGGTGTGGAAGTTGCCTTGTATTCCTAGTTTGTCAAGTGGCTTTATCATGAAACAGCATTATTCTGCATCATTTAAAATGGTCCTGTGGCTTCTTCTTCCTCTTCCTCCTCCTCTTCCTCTTCTTCCTCTTCTTCCTCTTCTGTTTTGTACCAGGGATTGAACTGATGACCTCACGCCTGCCAGGCAGCGCTTACATCACTGAACTAAATTCCTGGCCCTTTTATTCTTCTTCTTCTTCTTCTTGACCTCACGCCTGCCAGGCAGCGCTTACATCACTGAACTAAATTCCTGGCCCTTTTATTCTTCTTCTTCTTCTTCTTCTTTTTTTTTTTTTTTTTTTTTTTTTTTTTGGTACTGGGGGATTGAACTCACGACTGCACGCTTGCGAGGCAGGTGCTTATGCCGCTGGGCTAAAATCCCCAGCCCTTTTTAATTCTTGATAGAGTATTTCAGTTTGGTGTTTAGATCTTGAGCCACCCTACATTCCTAGGATAAATCTCACCTGGTCCTGATGTATATCCTTTGACTATGCTGTTGGATGTGCTTTCCTGATTATCGTTACTGTTGTTGTTTTTTGTTTTTTTGAGACAGGGTCTTACTATGTAGTGCAGACTGGCCTTGAACTCACTATATTGCCCAGGCTGGCCTCGAACTTGTGCCAGTCCTTTTGCCTCAGCCTCTCAAGTGCTGGGATTACAGGCATACTCCACCACATCCAGATGTTATTATTTTTTGACATAGTGTCCTTCTGTGTAGTTCAGATTGGCCTTGAACTCCCAGAGATCCTCCTGCCTCAGCCTCCCAAGTATTGAGATTACAGAGGTGCACAACAACACCTGGCTACTCTGAGTTTTGCATCTGTATTCATGATAGATATCATGGTCTGTAGGGGTTTTTTTGGTTGTTTTTGTTTTTATTTTAAGGATGTTTTGGTTTGGTCTTGCTGTGAGAATTATGCTGGCCTCATAAAATGAGCTAGGAAGTAAATGTTTCTTCCACTTCAGGTTTTTGGGCAGAATTTGAGTCTGGAGGTGCTAATTTTTCTTTAAGCTTTTTATAGGGTTTGGCAGGGAAACTGTCTAGGCCTGAGTTTTCTTTGTTGGAAACTTCCCCAGTACTGACTGGATCCAAACTCTTTTGTTTTAGATCTGTTAGAATTTCAGTTTCACCTGTTCAGAGTTTGCAGTCCCTGTGAGGGCTCTGGCGGCAGTGCTGTCCTGGGTCTGTGCTCCTGGTCCTCCTGGTTTCTGTGAAGTCAGCTGACATCTGTCCCCACTCCTGACCTCAGGGCTTTGAGTTTTCAGCTTGTGCTTCTCCTCCGTGAGTTTGTTTCCAAACTGCGTGGAAACCGCGTTTTCTGTGATTTCATTGATTCCCCTCGTTGTTTCTGAATGCTTTATTTCATTGATCTCTGCTCTAATTATTATCAGTTTTCTGTTTGCTGCTTATATTTGGGTTTAGTTTTTTTCCTGAGCCTTTAAGATAAAAGATTAGGTTACTGATTTTAGTTCGTTCTTTCTTTGTTTCCTTTTCCGCTTTTCTTTTTTCTTCCCTTTCTTTTCCTGGTACTGGAGGTTGAATCCCAGGCCTTTGCACTGAGCTAGTCTCAATTCCGTTTTTATCTTGGGACAGGCTCACACCAAGTTGCCCAGGTTGGGCTTGAACTTGTGATCCTCCTACCTCAACCTTCCCAGGGTTGGGGTTACGGGCATATGTGACCTTACCTGGCAGAATCTTTTCTAATTTTGACTGACAACTGAGTATTTTGAACATTATAATGTAACAAGTTAAGAAATCACATTCTTTCACCTCCTGTGCTGTTTGTGGCAGTAGCTGTTTGTTGAGTGACTTCTGAACGAATTTCATGAAGTCTATAATCTGCATTGTGGCCACCAAGTTTCTTTTCCGTGACTTGATGATGAGACTGAGATTTCTTCACAGCCTCCCACAGTTGAGACAGATGGGTGATGTGCGTGCTGGGAACACTTTCAGCAGCAGCCAGGCTGCCAACAGACAGCTCTGTCCTCCCTGCTTCAGGAGTGCACTCAGGGCCTTTTCAGCCTGGGCAGCCTGGCCCTGGAATGACAGGGGCTGGGCTTCAAGTCCCAGGCAGGAGCCTCTGGGTGGCGCTGTGTCCTCCAGGCCGCTCTGGGCTGGCAGTGGGGTGGCAGGGCCCGGGATTCCAGGAGTCCTGTTTTCTTCCCGGTCCCCAATCCGTGCCCCAGTGTTGGGGGCCCCTCTTGAGCTGCCCTGACTCACTGCCCTGTGACTCGCAGATTCCGATTCCAGATCCGAGTCAGACTCTGATCAGGAGAATGCGCAGTCCGGTAGCAACGCCTCGGGAAGCGATACCGACCAGGAAGACGCGGGCGACTCGGGGCAGCCAAATAACAAGGAGCTGTTCGGCGAGGATAGTGAGGATGAGGGGGCGTCGCGCCACAGCGGCAGTGAGAACCCCTCGGAGCGCTCGGACAACAGGTCGGAGGCCTCGGAGCACTCTGAGCATGAGGACAATGATGGCTCCGATGTGGAGCAGCACAGCGGCTCGGAAGCGCAGCCCGAGGATGAGGACGATGGCCGCAGGTCTGAGGCTGGGAGCCACCGCTCGGAGGCCGACGGCTCAGACAAGGCGGCGTCCGACGACGACAGGTGGGGCGGAGAGGACAAGAGCGACCAGTCCGATGACGAGAAGCTGCAGAACTCGGACGACGAGGAGCAGGCACAGGCCTCTGACGAGGACAAGCTGGCCAACTCGGACGACGACGAGAAGGAGCAGAACTCGGACGACGAGGAGCGGCCCGCGCTGTCTGACAACGAGCGGCCGCCGCTATCTGAGGAGGAGAAGGCCAACTCCGAGGACGAGCAGCCCGCGGCGTCCGACAACGAGGACGAGAAGCAGCACTCAGACGACGAGCGGCCACAGGGGTCCGATGAGGACAAAGCGCAGAACTCTGAGGACGAGCGGCCGCTGGCCTCGGACGACGAGGAGGAACAGGAGCGCAAGTCAGGTAGGCCGTGGGCTGGGGACAGGCGGCTCAGGACAGCCAGCTTGCTCGGGACAGCTGGCTTGCTTGGGACAGGCGACTAGGGACAGGCGGCGGCTGTCCATCTGGTGGCCTTCCCTCCCTTCCTTTGTCTTCCCTCCATCGCACCATCTGTGCCCTTTCCACCCGCTCACTGGCCGCTGTCAGGTTCAGCTCGACTCAGTCGCTTCCTCCTCGATGACAGGTTCTCAGCGCTGCAGCCGCAGGGGTGAAGTTCACTGCAGCTCACGGTGCAGGGTTCAGTCCGTGCAAGCTGGCTGTAGAGCAGCAGAGCGTGGTGAGGGTGTGGCTGAGGAGAGCCGCGCTGGCCTGGCAGGCGGGAAGGCACAGGGCAAAGGAGCTAGACAGAAAGACTGACCCTTCCTGGCCACTTCCAGGACCACTCTTCCCACCGGGCTCTGCCGCCTAGTGTAGATCTAAACCACCACACCCCTTTCCTGTTGTCAAGTGGTGCAGATCAGAGGGAAGCAGGGAAAGAACAGTTCCAGTCGGCAGCATGATACTAGAGGGGCTCGGTGAGGACCTGAGTTGGTTCCATGTACACAGCTGCTAGAAGGCACAGCATGCTGCTCAGGAAAGCAGCCCTTCCTGGAGGGAGACACAGCTCCAGGTTCCCTGGGGAACCTGAGTGTGGGCACTGTGTCCGTGTTGTGCCTGCATCCCGAGGTGATCAGGCACCGGGAAGACTGAGTGAAGGCGTCTGATTGAATTGCAGTCCTCTGTCTCCTCCTTGCCAAATTGCTGTGTTTTCCTGGTACCTAGTCTACAGCGGGGGCCAAACAGTTGGGGCTGCCCAGAGTGTGTGACCTCCGGAGACACGAGCATGCTGGGTGGCTGTTGACCTGCCACAGCCCCACTGCCCCCAGGAGGAGAGTCCCCGATTCAGGCCTGCCCTGCAGACTGAGGGTCTGGCTCTCGCTGAGTCAGCGCCTGTGCCGCAGCCCTTTCTTGCTTTGGTCTCCGTGTGTGGTTGGTTTGTTTGTGACGCAGTTGTGATCACGCATAACTTCCAGCTCTGCTCCCTAGAATCTGCCAGAGGCAGCGACAGTGAAGATGAAGTCTTACGGATGAAACGCAAGAACGCGATTGCGTCCGACTCTGAGGCGGATAGCGATGCTGAGCTCCCCAAAGGTACCTGCCATCTCCACTGCTACCCGTGCCCAAGCTGAGGTGCGCTCTCTGCCCAGGTGGACGGGGCATAGCTTCCTTGGTAGGCAGAGCACAGCCTGCAGGAGCCGAGCCTTGGGGCAAGGCGGAAGTCTGTTCTGTAGCTCACAGTGCCTTGCTGAATGTCAGATTAAGAAATGGATTTCAGGGCTGGGGATTTAGCTCCATGGCTTAAGTGCCTGCCTGGCAGGTGCAAGGTCATGAGTTCCATCCCCAGTACCAAAAAAAAAAAAAAAGAAAGAAAGAAATGGATTCCAGGGCCAGGGATTTAGCTCAGTGGTACAAGGCCTACCTGCCAAGCATGAGGTCTTGAGTTCAATTCCTGGTAGCCCCCACAAAAACAAAGAAGAAATGGATTCCAGCTGGGTGTGGTGGTGCACATCTGTCATCCTAGCACTTGGGAGGCTGAGGCAGGAGAATCAGTGTGATTGTGAGTTCATTCGAGGCCAGCCTGGGCTACATAGTGCAGGGCCAGCCTGAACTGCACAGTGAGACCCTGTCTCAAAAAAAGAAAGATTGTGCACGCCTTGGGTTAGCTAAAGAGTTTGTCCCCGGCTCTTTGTCCCAGTGCCAGGAGAGTCCCCGGCCACTGTGCACAATGGCATAGAGGGCACAGAGGGCTGTAGTGAAGATGTCGGCATGGTAATGGCTCGTGGCTCCACCAACTGGTGGTGGGGAGTCAGCCAGGAAGGTGCCTGGGCACGGAGGGTGGTGGCTTTGTTGCTGTCACTTCATCAGCTCTGAGCACCCCAGTTGTCCCTCCGGCCATCTCTATGTGACCTCGGTCTCCATGACTCACTCTCGGTCTCAGCCCACACCATGTTTTCACCCGTGACTGTGCCTTTTCATCGTGTTGCAGGCAGTCTCCTCCTAGCCCCTCCTGGCTCTCTGTGCTCTGCTGGTTTACTTAGGTCACGTGGTTGCTTCGGGCTGGGCCCTCACCGATGGGCCACACAGGCCTGGAGTGAGCTGGGTGCTGTACCTCTGGGCCCTTGGTGGGCTCCGAGAGCCAGGCCAGTTGTGCTCAGAGCCCTGGTGCTGGGGGAAGAAGCTTTCTGCTGTTAACGCTGGGCGTTTTCCTCCCGGGGAAGATGGCAGCGGTGCCATGGACCTATTTGGAGGCGCAGACGACATCTCTTCAGGCAGTGATGGGGAGGACAAGCCACCTACCCCAGGGCAGCCGATGGTGAGTGCCTCTTGGGGCTGGGCCCTGGCGCTGTCCCTGAAGGGGTCTCCCCAGGTGGAGGATGCGGGCAGGTGACTGTGGTAGGAGAGGAATCGGCCAGATGAGCTTCTGTGTCCTGGAGGAGGCTCCTGGCTCCGGGGAGAAGCAGCTCCTGCCGGGGCAGCCTATGGGCTGGGCGCCATGTCTGTAGTGAGTGTCAGCGAGGTGACTCCTGTGCCCCGAGCCTGCTTCCCCGTTGGCCAGGTGCAGCTGGACTCACTCAGGAGAGGCTAGTTGGAAGTGGCCTCAGGGCTGAAACCCAAGGTTCTCTCTCTAGGATGAAAATGGGCTGGCTGCGGACCAGCAGGAGGAAGAGCCCATTCCTGAGACCAGGATAGAGGTGGAGATCCCCAAAGTCAACACGGACCTGGGCAATGACCTGTACTTTGTCAAGCTGCCCAACTTCCTCAGCGTGGAGCCCAGGTGGGCAGCCAGGGCTTCAGGGGGTCGGGGAGAAGCTGGGTTTTTCTTGCTTTGTAGAGCTGAGTGACTAAAGACAAAGATGGAAAGTTCGTGGTATAACCCTGAAAGCACAAGCACATTCTGTGTAGAAAAAGAGCGGCCCTATGTAAAGGAGACGTTTCATGTGGCTGTCTTCTAATGGTAGGGTACAGTGTCAGGAGTCAACAGAGCTCCCCAGTCTGCCTTTCAGACTTCTGCTTAAGGTGCTGGGAAGTGGCCTAGGCAGGTGCTGTACTACTCAGCCACATCCCAGCCCTTTCTAACCTATGTGATAGTTCCACTGTGTTGTCTGTGTGGATCTCAGATTTGAGAGCCTCAGCCCGGGTGACTGGAATTACAGGTTTGTAACACCACACCGGCTCTTTAAGAGACTTTTTAACTAGTGTAGCCCTAAAAAAGCTGAAATTGGCTAGCTGTGGTGGCCACACCTGTAATCCCAGCCCTCTGGGAAGCGAGGCAGGAGGAACTTGAGTTTGAGCAACTTAGGGAATTAGTGAGACTCTCTCAAAAGCATACCATTGAAAAGCAGCTGGGGCAGCAGCTCTTGAAGGCCCTGGGCTCCACCCCCAACACCACGAGGAGAAACCACACTTGATCCTGAAAGGGATGAACCGGCTGGAGAAACCGCGGTGTCCACCGTGGCACAGGCCCGGGCCCCGCCCAGGTAAACCGTGCCACCAGGGGTCGCGTGTGATTGAAGTGTTGCCGCGGGCAGCTCAAAGCTTCCTGTTGCCGGGAAGACTGTCATAGGAATGTGGAGTGTCTGGGATACTTAGCCTCTGTGTGAACAGCACATCCTGAGAAGCTGCAGCAACTCGAACACGTGTTGGAGCTGAGTGTGACGACACTGGCATCATGGTGTCTTAGCCTTTTGATCAGTGGTGTGGCCGTGAGCGTGTTGTTATGCAATCAGTGATAATCGTTTACTTTAAAACAATTTGTAGACCTTTCGATCCCCAGTATTATGAAGATGAATTTGAAGATGAGGAGATGCTGGACGAAGAAGGCAGAACCAGGTTAAAATTAAAGGTACTGTGCCGTGCCGTGCCATGCCCTTCCCTTACAGCGCAGAGCCTGGGGTGCCAGTTTGCAGCCCAAGAGTGTGAGAATGTTTTGTTTTCTGTTCAGTTGCTGAGACGAATTGTCTGCCTGTTGAGAACTTTCGAAGTTGAGAGCTTAATTTGACCTGCTTAAGCATGGTGGAGTGCACAAGACAGATTAGAAATGGGAACCTATAGAAATGTCACTTCTCTTTATGAAATGTCAATTATCTGATATTTTCTCCATAAAAAATGTCAGTTGCATAATTTTTGGGGGGGGGGTCTTTTGAGGCAGGGTCTCACTATGCAGTTCAGGCTGGCCTTGAGCTCACTTTGTAGCCCAGGCTGGTCTTGAACTTGCTATGACCCACCTGCCTCAGCCTCCCAAGTGCTAGAATCACAGGTGTGTGCCACCACATCCAGCTTATATTTTTCTTGCTGATAATTTTCTTTGATGCTTTTTAAAAATGGTGACTACTTTAGTGTAAGATGTACAGCTGGCTGTGATGGCAAAGCCTTGTCATCTCAGCACTAGGGAGGCCAAGGCAGGAGGATTCCCGAGAGTTCATAGGCAGCCTGGCTTTCAAAGTGAGCTCAAGGCCAACCTGAACTGTATAGTGAGACCCTGTCTCAAAAGAAAAAAAAAGAGAAAAGAAGTATCGTACTTAGGTAGTAGGTATTTAGGGCCACCTTCCCCTGCGCCCTTGCTGAGGAGAATTTATCATGAGCCCCTAACACAGCTGCGTGGCCGCTCACCCTGTGCCCTCTTAGCTGTCCCTGTGAGCTGTGGCACAGGGCCATGGTTGCCCCAGGAGGGTGCACACTGAAGGCACACGGAGCTGAGCTGTGTCCAGAAACAAGGGGCATCAAGCACAGACAGGAGACCAGGCTGAGCACCGTGGATTCACGCAGGCTGGGGATTCTCGCAGACACTCTGTTCTCCAGTGCTTGCTGTCTATGGGCATCATGCTAGGGAAGTCAGTCTGGCAGCCAGTCCGCGTGTCTGTCTGTCTGTCTCTCAGTTCTGTGCTGAGAGACAGCACAGAATCTGGGGTGACTGTGCAGGTTTTCAGGATGCCGTTGAGGAGCTGCATGCAGCGCCTGGTCTGGTCCTCCCAGGAGCCCTCGGGCTCGGGTGCCCTTGGCCATGTCCCCTCCGGACAGTCAGGCTCCCGATTTCCAGGCCGCGCTCTGATGCCCTGCAGTGTTGCCTGGGCCTTCCCGGCAAGGGAGCCCCGAGTGCTGCCCCTGAGTAGGGAGGGTTTGAGGTTCTGAGCTGGGGCTCCATCGTGGTCCACTGTGGCCATGGCTTCTGCTGCATCCGAACATCCAGCCTGAAGCAGGTGGCAGTGAGGTCCAGCTGGTGCAGAGGTTTGGTTCTGGGAGCCTAGAAACCCTCCACTGTGTGTAGCATTGCCTGGTGTTTAAGCGAGAGGCTGCAGTCGGCCACCCGCTTGTGCCTCTCAAGAACCCTGGTGAGGCAGGCTGCAGCCCTCTCAGGAGTGGGTGTCTAACCAGGTGGAAAACACCATCCGGTGGCGGACCCGCCGTGACGAGGATGGGACCGAGACCAAGGAGAGCAACGCGAGGATCGTCAAGTGGTCAGATGGCAGGTGAGCTGGACGGGAGCTTGTTGGGGCCACCTCCCTGGCTCCCAGAGGCAAGCCCCGAATTCCCAGGCCATAGTCTTCCTGCCACACTGCCCCAATAGCTGGGCCTGGGACCGATCCTGAGTAGGGGGACAGAAGTGAGTTCCCGTGGTTATCCCGTGCTCCCAGGAGCGATGAGGACACGCAGAGCATGCTGGGGCATGGCCACCCCGGCACAGCCCGGAAGCCTGGAAGTTAAACTGCCCACGCCCCGAGTCCCCTTGCATGTGGCAGAGGCGGTGTCCCTTAGCCGGCAGCTCATCTCCATTGCCCTCCTTCTGTGGCTGAGGAGAGGAAGCGGCCGGGCACCGAGCTGGGGTTGGAGGCTGCAGTGGCCTTGGCTAATGTGTGCTTCTGTCCTCACTGTCGCCAGCATGTCCCTGCACTTGGGCAATGAGGTCTTCGATGTGTACAAGGCCCCGCTGCAGGGCGACCACAACCACCTCTTCATCAGGCAGGGTACTGGCCTGCAGGGCCAGGCTGTCTTCAAGACAAAGCTGACCTTCAGGTAACTGCGTCCCCTATGCCCTGTGGTGCCTGTCAGGGGGCCCTGCCCGTCTCGGGGGCCAGGCTGTTAGCCAGGTAGTCAGGTGATCGGGCTGTGAGCCAGTGTGTGGGTCAGTGCATCCCACAGGTCCTCTCAGCTGCCCCTTGTGGACACTGAATGGTCCGTGTGTCCCTTCCTAATAGAATGGATGCGGGGTGGTAGGTGCTGCAGGGGCGAGGCTGGAGTTGCCGTCCAGTGGTCCCTTGTCCCTGCAGGACTGTCCCCAGACCGTCTGCCATCCCCTGCAGGGCAGAAACAATTGCTGTATCTTTTCTTGGAGTTGAAGGGAAATGACAGTATCCATCAAGCCACCATGTGGGGGTGGCTTGCCTGGGCCGGTGTTGCGTGCTTAGCACTGTGTGGCAGTGGCCCCAGGTCGTAGAGGACGCTCACTGTCCTGCCTGCTGGCCTCTCCAGCTTTCCTTTCCGTGGCTTTGCTTCTGTACAGTGCCATGTAGTCACAGAACAGCTGGTCTCCTGTATTTTAGAAAAGGAAAAATGCTTGAAAATCTGCCTTGCTTTAAAAAAAAAAAAGCATAGCTGGGCGTGGTGGCTCACACCTGTAATCCCAGCACTTGCGAGGCTGAGGTAGGAGGATCATTGCGAGTTTGAGACCAGCCTGGGCTACAAAGTGAGTTCAAGGCCAGCCTGAACTGCATAGAAACCTTGTCTCAAAAAGACAAAAAAAAAAAAAAAAAAAAGCACAAAAGCTGCCAGCGCCACGGCCCAGTGCCCTCCCCTTGTCGGGCCGCAGCACAGAGCTCACCCCGCCCCTGTCGGCTTCCCCGCCCGGGACCTGTGTGCAAAGCTCAGCACCGGTACACCTTGCTCTTTCCTCAGACCTCACTCCACAGACAGCGCCACACACAGGAAGATGACGCTGTCGCTTGCCGACCGGTGCTCGAAGACGCAGAAGATCAGGATCCTGCCGATGGCTGGCCGCGACCCCGAGTGCCAGCGCACAGAGATGATCAAGGTACAGGCACCCTCCTTCCCCTGCTGCTCCCCAAGGCCCCTGATGGGTTCCCACCCGTGATGTGTGACGCCTGGGGACACCACCACCTTGCAGAAGGAGGAAGAGCGCCTACGAGCCTCCATCCGCCGAGAGTCACAGCAGCGCCGCCTGCGGGAGAAGCAGCACCAGCGCGGGCTGAGCGCCAGCTACCTGGAACCAGACCGCTACGATGAGGAGGAGGAGGGCGAGGAGTCCATCAGCCTGGCTGCCATCAAGAACCGCTACAAGGGCGGCATCCGTGGTGAGTAGTGGGGCCCGGGCTGCTGGGGTGGGGATGGGGCTGCCACCCTGCCGGCCCCTCTCTCGCTTGTGCTCTTGTGGCCATGTTTTGCTGGTCAGATCGGTGCCGTCTCACCTAGGCCTCGGCACTGACCGGAAGCCACAGAGCTGAGTTACTGCAAGAACATGGTTCCTCATGTTGCCCCTTCCGTCCGTCACCTGAGCCATCAGTCTGTCTCTCCTCGGGGAGCTGGTTTGTGTCCTGCCTGGCTACACAGTGCTGCCATCTATCTGCCCTTTGTGACTTTGCTCTTTTTTTTAGGGCAGGGGATCGAGAATCTGGGGCCGTCACACTGAGGTGCACCCTGAGGCCTTTTCAATTTTTATTTTTTTGGTATCTGGGATCAAACTCATGACCTTGTCAGGCAGGCGCTTACCCTGCTGAGCTCCATCCGGCCTGATTTTGAATTTTGAGGTGGGAGCTCCCTGGACCTTACGGCCCCAGGCCAGATACAAACCTGTAGCCTCCTTGGCCATACACAGCTGCCCAGATATCACTGCTGAAGCTCGAGGTTTGGGAGTTTGGTACCTTGCCTACAGATGTTCAGAGAGTGAGAGCCCTGTGGGCTTTGGTCCTTAGACCCCAGGTACCCCAAGTCTTCCGTGTCTCCCAGGGTCCATGCCCTCTGCTATACGCCTGCCTGGCATGGGACCATGGCCACCATCGATCAGGGCCTGGGGCCAGGGCACTGCACAGAAAGCAGCAGCTGCCTCGGGTCACTGCCCCCTCGCTGGACTCACCGGGTATCAGGGAACCAGGTCCTGGGCTCACCCACCTCCTTGGTGGCTCGAGGAGGTGCAGTGTGACACCAGCTGGCCTCTGAGTGTCCTGCAAACGTGTTGCTCGCTCTAGTCCTGTTACTGTGTTTGATCTGCCGCCCTGTGTCTCTTACATGTCTGTCCGTTATTTGGGGACCATAGTACAAACTTTATTCTGGGTCAGCACCAACTTCTCACAGAGAAAGACGGCTGTGTGACTGCCACAAGAAGCACCAGGGTGGGCCAGGTGTGGCTTAGTGGCACTGCACGGCTTGCCAAGTGCAAGGTCATGAGTTTGGTTCCTGCACCAAAAAAGCACAGCGTGCTAAGGGTGCTGTGATGGACCCGGGGATCTGGGCCAGGTGCCCATGAAGTTGGTGCTGGGTGGTGGGGACACTGCCGTTCGCGTCCCCCAGATGGCGCCATGCCAGCAGCTCAGCCCTGCTTTGCTTCCAGAGGAGCGCGCCAGGATCTACTCCTCCGACAGTGACGAGGGCTCGGAGGAGGACAAGGCGCAGAGGCTGCTCAAGGCCAAGAAGCTCAACAGTGACGAGGTGAGCAGGCAGGAGTGTGACAGGGCCTGCAGTTGGGCAGGACTCGTTTTAGCTGACCACTTGGTGGCACGCTGGGGACGGCCCTGGCTGGGCGGTGTTTACTCCACTGCAGACAGAGGCTGGGGAAGGATATGGTGATGTGCCAGGCTCTGCTCACCTTGGTTTCCCCTGAGGTTTTCTTTTCTGCTTGGTTGAGACCTGGGGCCTCGAGGGGTGGCCTCTGGGTGTGGGACTGCCTGACCAGCAGCCACCTGTGCCATGGCCTCTGCTGCTTGGCCAGCCCTCACCTCACTCTCCCGGTGCTCTGTCCCCCTGCCTGGCCCAGGGTGCCAGGTCCACTGGGTGACACCTCCCACTTTAGGTTCCTCTCTGTTTCCTATGAGCTCCTCCTGAGCCAGCAGCCTGGGTGTGCCACTGAGGCATGGGGGACTTTGGGGACTCTGCGTACCCACCCAGAGAGCCTGCAGTGTGTTTGGCACAGTGTTCCATGCCTGTGGCCCTGGGTGAGCTGGCGCATGCTGTCCTCCTTGGTCCAAGGCCAAGCACAACTGCTGGCATGGTAACCCCAGGAGAGTGGGTGACACCATGACAGGTGGTGGCAGCAGAACACAAAATGCTGTCTGCCTTCTCCAGTGAGACTTAAGTCGGCCACCAGGCGAAAGCTCCTGCCTGCCGCACTGGCTCCCAAGCTAGGACAGGGGAGCGGGAGACCAGGCGGCGCTCTCTGGGGCAGGAGGAGAGCAGTGGGGTGGCAGGAGGCGACTCCTCCAGCAGGATGGCCTGTGCCACCCCGTCCCCTCCACTCTCCATGACTGGGCCCCCCTTGCCTTCCTAAACTGTGGGGTACCCAGGGCCCATGCAGGTGGTAAGCACGCTATGTGGTCACTGTCATTGCCCAAGTACAGCACGGGAACCAGGGCCAGTCACTTTCCCCAAGGAGTGTCCCTTGTGCCTCCCTGGACCCAGTGAGGTCACCAGGGTCTGCCTGTTCCTCAGCCTGTGCTCTGGAGGTGGTTCTGAGCTTGGCAAAAACGGCACTGTGGAGAGGGGACACTGGGGAGGGGGCAGAGTGCAGAGCATGCAGTGGGGAGGCTGTTTCTGGAAAGCCAGCGGCACTGGATGTGAAAACTGCCCTGAACTTGGCAGGTGCTGGGGTGCTGGGTGCTTATTTCTCTGTGTTGTGACCAAGAGCACGGGGTTTGTGGAGAGAGGGATGTTCTGACTGTGGTCTGTGGCATGGGTCAGTCCTGTGGGCGGTACCAGCAGGTGTCTGCATTTCGGGGTGACTGTAGTGTGTGACATCACCCGTGCAGGAAGGCGAGCCGTCAGGCAAGCGGAAGGCAGAAGATGATGACAAGGCCAGTAAGAAGCACAAGAAGTACGTGATCAGCGACGAGGAGGAGGAGGAGGATGACTGAAGCGGACGTGGGCCTTGCTATGGACTGTACAGTGTCTTATAAATATGTAAACATGAGCTATTTTGATTGAAATGAATTAATTTGCATTTATGTAATTTTGTGATAAAAAATCCTTGAAAGCCATTCCATGTCTAAAGAAGCTGCTTGTGTCACCCTACACAGAGGGGACTCGCTGTGGCCTCAGGATCCCCCCGCCCTGGTGGCAACTGGCGGCGTGGCGGCGTTCCACGACCCTCTCTGTGCCCCTCCTCCCGCTTGTGAGAACAGTCATAGGACAAGGCCAGCGCAGCCCATAGAGCCTCACCAGCTACGACAGGGACCTGGTGCCCACATGGTCTCCTGGGGTTCAGGGTAGACAAGGATTGGGGCTGAGTCTCACCACAGTGCAGAGCAGGGTCTGAGACCAGCAGTGTCAGCACTGCCTCTGATGGAGGGGTTTGTGGCCAGGGCTGGTGACCCTAGTTAAGTCACCTCTGCGGCTTCAATTTTCCTATGGAAAGTACTGCCTGGCGGGGACACACTGGGCTGTGCTGGGTGGGGCAGCAGTGTGGGTTCTCCGCACAGGTGGCCTGGTGCAGTCAGGAAGCCCCATGCCATTCTGGGGGCTCTGTTTGCACAGAGCTGGTTGGGGACCTGCAGGACAGGCTGGGGCGTTGGCAACATCACCCATGGGCTTGGGTGGTTGTGGGAGGGCTAATAGCCTGCAGCCCACCTGCCACCTATGTGAACCGCTGGGACCCAGGAGGAACAGGTCCAGGGGACCTTCTGGAAAGTACCGTGACTCCGGGTGGTACTGGGGTGGCCAGGCCATGAGCACCCTCATAGCAGCCGTGGGGTGGCCTGGCCCACATGCCTTGAGGCTGCAAGCGCAGGGCCAAGGTCCTCGCCCTCCAAGCCCGCTGGAGCCTCGTGTCTCCGCACAGGGCCGGCAACCACCACCAGGCCCACTCTGGGACAGGCTCCTCCTCCCGGGCTTCAACACAGGCATTTGGGGGACAAAAAGAGTGCATGGAAGAGACACAGTGACTCGAACAGTAACAAGCTTGCTCCATAGAGGTGGCAAGGAATGGACTGCAGAATATGGGAACTCAAGGGACACTTACTTTAGCAGAAAGTCTACTTTCTTGGTGGGGACAAGCCTTGGTGGGGACACATGGCTGTAATCCCACCACTATGGAAGGTTGAGGCGGGAGGATCACGGAATCCAGCCCAGCCTGGGCAATTCAGCAAGATCATGTCTCAGAAAATAAGGACTGAGATTCAGCAGCGTGTGAAGGTCCTGGGTTCAGGCCCTGTGCTAAGAAAAAGCCTACAGGACACCTGGTAAACTACTGCAATTATCTGTTCCAATACATAGCAGTAACTGAAATGGCAGTACATGTTTTTCAAAAGAAACTTCACTGTTACTAGGAATTGGATGGGTAATTTTATTTAAATGTCTGAGTTATAAAATTCACTTTTATATCTGTAAAAATTGAAAAATAAAAAAATAAAGAAGCAGAACATTGAGACTGGCGTTAGCAAACGTGTACCCGAACCCGAAGTCATGACACAGAAGGGTATGTGGTTACAGAGGCGACTCCATGCAACCCAACCCAGCCAACCCATGACCGTTCACCCCACAGGCTGCAAGCAAGGGCGGGAATTTATCTGAAATTGCAGAGGTTTTATGCTGTGTGCATACTTTTAAAGAGTCTAAGACAAATCTCAACATCTGGAATGAAATAAAAACTTTAACCGGGAGCACCGGCATGTGCCTGTTAAGTGTCAGCTACTCATGAGGCTGAGGCAGGAGGACTGCCAAGTTGCTTGGTTTTTATGGGGAAGGACTTACAATACTGAATTACGTGTGGAGAAAAATGACAAAGACCTAATTAAAATATGACACTCAACATTCTCTGGACTAATTTTTTCAACTGAAAGTCCTCAGTGGAGAGCTAAGGGACCTGCCTGACTGTGGTGACACCTGCAGCAGTGTCTCCAGGGTGCCCACGCCTCCGCTGCCCTGAGAGCCTGGGCTCGGCTCTGCAAGGTGGTGACAGGTCCTGGGCCCATGACAGAGCAGCATGGCAGCCTGGGGATGGCAGGATGGTAGGGACTATGTCTTACTTCAACAGCAACAAAGCTAAGTGTAACATACACCAGACCACAGCTAGTGCTTTCCCAAGACAACTGTTTCCTTGCGTGATTTTACTGTGTCACAGAGCCCCTTGAGAAGGAAAGGGCATCAGCTAGGGGAGCACTGGAGGGGTTTTCACCTCCCTGTCAGGCCTCTCACACGGAGGGCATGGGACTGCCAGGCCCAGCCACTCCTGCAGCATTCAACATCATGCGTCCTGCTCTTGGGCAGGTGCCCAGGAGGGCACCGGCTGCTTCTCAGCCCTCTCCTCGCCTGCGCTCCAGGGAGACAGCACCGAAACCCAGTCCAGCACACTCACGTTAATGATCCTAGCGGGCTTTTAACACATGAGTTTCATGGAGACACTGGGAAATCAGGACCTCAGATAAATAGGAATGATAAACTGTATAGAACATTCTCTTAAGATAACTAGATGCGTTAGACTAGAAAACCTAAGATCTTACAAAATCTCTGGCTTAAACATTAAGACTGTATCAAAACCCTAACTTATCTGTCCTGCTATAAAAATTTCAGAGCCCTTTGAAAATACTGGAAGTTATTAAAAGGTTAAGAGGCACCAGATTTTGTATATCAAAGCAAACACATTGTTCTCTCTTGTAATTAAATTCTTGAAAGATTTTTCTAGGCTGACTGTGTCAGTGTTGGTGTTTAAAACTGCTCATCAGGAGACCTTAGTCACACAGTGTGGGGAGGGTGGTGCGGGCCACGGCTCCGGCTGCAAGAATCCCGGTGTTTGCCTGTGGCTACCTCTGCTGCACCCCATAGGAACATGAAAGCCCTCCTGGGAGGGCTGCAATCCCCACTGGAACTCCAGGCCAGGCCTATGCACTCCTGCCCAGCCCCAGTGGCTACACCCAGCACTGGGTGGCAGAGCCCACTTGCGCTGCTGTCCTGACCTCTCCCACCTTATGGGTCTGAAAACAGAGGTCAGATTCTTCCCTTTGGCTGCATGGACGCCTTGGCAGTTCTGGACCGCACTGGCGCCAGGCTCTCCCCACACTCCTACAAGAGCAGCACCTTGGAGGCTGCAGTCCCTCTACTCTCACAGGCAGGGGGCAGCTCGCTTCCCGCCCTCAGTAACTCACCTTCAGCTCTGCCTTTTTCTTGCAGAAAACAGCTTTTCTATAAGGTGCTTCCCCTAAATTTGGCAACACCCACATCAAAGTGACAGCTGTGTAATGGACACTTTAACCATCCCTTTAAACACAGCGTGCAGCTGGGCTTGGCTGACGCCTTGTCTGAGCCGGGCCTCGGGCAAGCTGCACCCTGAGAGGCAGCCTGGCCCCTGAGCCATTAGGTTTACAATTCTGGTGTTTTGTTTCCTTGATTAAAAACAAAAACAAAAACAAAAACAAACATACCCTTGCCAAATTCATGTATTTTTAAAATGTGTAAAGATCTCCAGGTTATGAAAGCGTACTTTTTTATACCTAGAAGCAGCGACAGTAATTTTGACACCAGCAGTATCCCTTTTGGATTTTAAAAATACTGATCCTCAAAGTTTTCTACATAAATGGCTTCTGAAATATTGCTATAACTGTTTGTGCCCAAGATTCGCTATAAATCACTCAAGCTAACTTTAAAAATTCTAGAAGAACATGGAAATGTTTCAAAATATAAAACATCACCTACTACCGATTTACAATAGGAAATTGATAATAACGTGATCTAGAAAATAATGTATATGGTTTAAAAAAGGATTTCCAGTCTTTCCCCGTCCACCCAGAAATGGCCACGGTGACCACTTTGTCTGCCATGCGCCGCCCAGTCTCCAGGTCCGCGGCTCACGGCTGCTCCCCTTCCACTCGCCGCCTGCGCACTGTGGGGAGAAGAGAGGAGGTTAGAGCCCCTCTGAGTGACTACCACTTCTACTGGGCACAAGCATTAACAAAATCACCCCAAGGTCCCCACTGTCGCGCCTGCTGACCCCAAGCAGATGTGGCAGAGCGGCGCTTAGGAGACTCACAGTGAGCCCCTGCGTTAAGCTCTGCCGCTGGGTTAAGGAGCAGCCACCGGGGTCATCCGTGCTCTCCGGGTAGCACGGTGCATCTCCCAGGCCTGGAGAAGATGCTGTGAACAGCCTGTCCTTCCTGCAGGTCAGTGGCTCACTGCTTTCCACGTCCTCCTCCTCTTTCCCACATAAAACAAGCATAATACAGAGCAATGGAACAGCTGACCTGTGAGGTGGCAAGGTCCTTGGGGCCATATCACCGCTGGCTGCCAAGTGGCCCACAGTTAGCAGACCAGGCAGGCTACTGTCCTCGGCCACCAAGAGCATTGGCAGGTGTCCCGACCCGCACGCCTTGGCCTTTCGGCCAGCTCTCACTGAGGACAAGTAGCACAGGTCCTGGGCAATGATGGATAGAACGTGACTCCTGGCACTGTCCCACGTCCAGCAGGGCAGTGACCTTCTGACCCAGCTTCTCTGCAGCGGTAGCAGCTGGCAACACCCGCACTTCACAGCTGTGCAGCTGCACACGCAACAAGTGCCCTCGACACCAGCCACCACGGCGATGTCACAGACGGACAGCCTTGGGGCTGCGGCAGAGGACATGTGTCAGCACTCACTGCCAGACCCTTCCACATTGTATTGCTCTGACGCTCCGAGGGGCCAGAGGCGACTCCTCTCTCCTGTCCCTCTGCGGCCTGAACTGGGCAGGTAGCCCTGAGGCTCTGCCTGGTGCTGCTCTGCTCTTCTCCCCGCCAAAGCAGTGGCCACAGGGGCCAGGAGGGAGGCTGTGCCAGCGCCATTACGCCTACTGACTGACACATCTGCGTTTCCCAGAAATTACATGAGTAACCCAAGTCTGTGCTGGGGAGCTGCAGTCTCCTTGGGCATCTTCGTCTCTTTTATTTGATCCACTGCAGAGCTGACAGTGATGCTTGGGAAAGAACCATGCAGCATCAAGAGTGGCCTCCCTTTCCCGTCTGGTTCCCGCACCCACAGGCAGTTCCTGAGATCACAGCTAGGTGGCAGGCTTGTAAATGCTGTTCTGTTAAATTTTTTGGAGCAGATCCACTTTCCAAACCCTCTGGGGCTGTGGAGGAACCCTAACCACTCTCAGGTTCTAAGAGAGTAGGGTTCTTTTTCTATCTTTGAGACAGGGTCTTGCTATGAAGTTCAGGCTGTCCTCAAACTCCCAGTGATCCTCCTGCCTCGGCCTCCTGAGTGCTGGGATTACAGGTGTGAGCTACTGTACCCATCTCTGCCACCTTTCCCTCATTTGGTCAGCATCCCACCTCCGGCTTGTGTCACTTGGGAGAGTTCTTGAGGGACCTGCCGGGCTGAGCGCTCAGAGCCTACAGGCTGGCGTCCTCACACATGTGCAGTGTGTCATGCCCAACTGTGCAGGACACCTGTGCCTGGCCTGGGTCCAGGTTGGTCTCAAGGCCAGTGTGCATGGAGCCTGTCCATGTGGCTGTGGCCCTGTACACCCAAGCCTGGCTTCCTCTCTTCCAGGAGGCCATATGCTGATTCACAGCCTAGACTGCTCTTTCTTGACTTGAGGCTAGGGCCTGGGGAGGGGATGGGGGCAGACACAGCTGGGGCCACAGACACAGCACTTTGAGCTCCACCCGGACAGCTCAGAGGCACAAAGGATGCCTGAGGCCATGTTCCATCCAGCTCTACAGTCACAGGGGCACCAGGCTGGGAGCTCCCAGCGTCCCACGCGTTTCCACAGCACCTTGTGGGCCTGGGACAGCTGCCCATGGCCATCCCTGCCCTGTAGTTGTGATGCCCAGTGCCTGAGGAGTGGCCACCACATGAGAGGTAGCTGGGAGGGTGAATGGTGCTGCAGCAAGCCCTGCACAAATATCAGCTGATGGGAGACTAAGCCAAACACCCACGGCCCCGGGAGCAGCAGGCTGGGGACAGGGTCACCTGGGAGGCCCAGCACCCAAGGTCTGCCCCAGGCCGACTAAACCAGATCTATGAAGGGGAGGAAGACAAGCATCTGTTCTTAAAGCTCTCCAGTTCTTCACAAAGCTTGGTCAGACTTGAGAAACACTGCTATAAAAGCCACCCTGAACACTGAGAACAGGCCAGGTATGGTGGCACTCAGTTGTGATCCTAGCACTCTGGGAGGCTGAAGCAGGACTGAGCTCAGCCTGGGCAGCCTGCCTCAGCAAGACCCTGTCAAAACAGCAGCTTCACACAGGGGAAGGAGTGGAGGTAGGGGTGCAGGCTGGACCGACACCCAGGGCCACATGGGCAGGGACCTGAGCAGTGAGCCAACAACAAAGAATTGAGCATGACCAAGAGCGCAGCTGTGCGCGCCCATCCGGGTTCAGAGGGCAGCAGCCAGGGCCTGGGTATGCCTCGGCAAGGCCTGAGTGTGATTCTTGGTCCCCAGCCGCCAAAAAAGAAGAAAAATAAAGAAAAGCAAAGTGGCTAAGATGTCCTTAAGGGAAATAGAAAGAAGGTAAAGAGTTTCAACTAATACTTTTCACAGTGATCTAGGTTAAAGACTGAAGCTGTATTTTTTCTGCTCCACAAACTAAAAGAATGCAGACTCAAATACAGCCAAAGCTTAAAAGAACAAGAGCACTTTAAAAGGGTGATCCTTTGGGGACTGTTTTTGGTACCAGGAACCAAACTCAGGCCCTCATGCTTGCCATGCAGACACTGTGCCACTGAGTAAATCCCCAGCCCTGAGACACCATAATTCTCTAAAATGTATCTTTTGAAATGCTTTAATAATTTTAACTGTAATTTAAAACCAGGCAGAAACAAACTTAAGCACGGAGTTCCTTTTTCCACTTTGTAACTTGGAGAGAGGTCTCCTTACCCACGGGCTCCGGGGTCTTGTCCCCCGACCTGACAGATGGGCCTGCAGGTGCACACTGCTGCCAGGTGCAAGCACCCCAGCTGCCCAGGGTGAAAGCCGAGCAGCTCCATGTGAGGGGGATGGGCACTGCACCTCAATCTGGAGGCAGACCCTACTGCTCAGTGTCCCCTCACATGAACCTGAATTCCTATCTAGGTCTGTTAGAGGAAAATAGTAAAACACTTTCCTGTAATGTGGAAATCTTTGTTCTAATAGCTACAAGGTCTGCTTCGTAACTGAGAACAAAACCTTCACTGTGAAACCTCACTTAAAGCTGGAACTGTGCTTATCACAGGAAGCTGCCTCATGACCCACCCGGTGGTCACTTCCACCTGGCTCAGCCTGAGCGCCACAGATGAGACGGACCCGGATCACAGGACCAAGGACAAGGAGTTTCTCTGTGTTAAAACCTCCACATGTCAGCTTAAAAGCATGATCCAGAAACTCGACGTGAGATGCCTTACCCAAGTCGTTGTTTTTGGTGATGGCGTTGGCCGCCCTGGTTCGGGGACCCTGCTGTGTAAACTGATACCCAAACTTCAGGATGTTGGTGTTTTCCTCGAGCATCTTGGCCATTTCTAATTCTACAGCTGTTCCCAACTGCTGCCTCTGGAAAGCAAAACCGTATAAATAAATACAGTGTGCCAAAATACTTTTCAGCGAGATCAAGACTGGGACACTAAGGCTTGGGCTGTTTCTGTCAGTCTTTAGATTCTCCCACTTCCACAACACAATGTAAGAAACAAACTTTTAAGCCGTTCACTGTATCACTGAGACATCACAAGTGCTGGTTCTGTGAGATATCACCTCACACCCCAGGGGTGAGCCCCGGCAGGTTGGTACAAGCCCCACAGTCACGATGACTCAGGAGGTTCAGCAAGAAGACCCTGAGCCTAGGAGCAGAAGACCAACCTAGGCACCACAGTGAGGCCCTGTCTCAGGAAAAAAGGAAACAGATGAACAATAACACAAGCTGCCACAAATGTGTGGCTGCTGGGATTTCTGGTATGACTGCAAAGTAGTGCAGCTGCTACGGAAAACTATTGGGAACTCGAGTCACCACACTGGCCAGCAGTTCTACACGGCCCTGTGAAGTGAAAGTATATGTTCATCCAAGAACTGGCACATGACTGTCTGTGTCATGATTATTTTTTCTGACTCTTTTTTGACGAGACATGGTCTCACTATGCAGCAGAGGCTGGCCTGGAACCCACGGTGGTCCTCCTGCCTCAGCCTCGCGAGTGCTGGGATTACAGGCGTGCACCACCACATCCGGTCACATCCTCATTTTTAATAGCTGAAAGGTGGGAACTCAAATGTGACAACAATGCGCGGCCACGCGCATGGAACTAATCACAACTGCAGCACCCGCACAGCACCTGGGAGCCTTTCAGAGGCGGCGCCTAGCTGTAGTTCAGCACCATTTGCTTATGGCAAAGTGCTGCTGCTGCACTGAACCCAAATACTGAGGGTGTTGCTGTCTGATGCTCAGCTCATGCCCACAAGACTGTGTGCCCACCGTGGCCTGTGTGCCACTGTCTTGCTGATGTGCAGCCCAGTGTCACATGACCCACGGATGTGGAGCTGCAGGTGAATCCAGTGGGGGGCATGGCTAGGCTCCTCCCAGGTGATGGCTGTGCCCTGTGGTGAGTGGCAACAGGGTGCAGAAGGCATTACTGCACTTCCAACGGCACTTTGGAGCTTGTGGCCATTTGCATGAACCACAGCTCGCGGCAGAAGTGGGAAACGCAGCATTCCGGCCATTAGATGTGATCCTCTTTCCTACTTCCAGAGTCTAAAACCTCACTCTGAAGATCTGAGGGAGACACTGTTTTCTACACACACAACTGAAGTTATCTCCCAGGCAGAGGGGCAAGGAGCCCCCAGTGGTCTGGGAATCCGGGCTTGTGCAGCACAGACAGGGTGTCCACCTCCTTTCACGGGGGACGACTGGACTGTGAGGTGCCCTTGGACCCTGTCACATTGCATGTGACATGTGCACCCCTGGCAGGCCACTGACCTGATTGTCCACCTTGAGCTCTACCAGGGTCTCATTCTCCCGAAGGGCGTCGATCAGTGCCAGAACTCCGGCCCCTGTGATGAAGTTGGACTCCATGTTCAAGCTCCTCAAAGTTCTGTTTACCCGGAGCATGTCGGCGAAAGCCTGGGGAGGAGAGGAACACTGGTGAGACACCATGTCACACGCCACTCTTTGCACTGCCCCGCCTGACTCCTGCCTGGCCCCAGCTTGCATTTGTTCTCATCCCTGGCTGCCTCCTGTGTCCCAGGCCTCCAGCTTCCCGAGAGGCTCTGCTGCAGGGTCGCTGTGCAGCCATGGCGAAGGGAAGTCGCACTCTAAGGCGGGGAATGAGGGCAGGAGAGTGGACTGCAGAGAGCCACCACCAAGCAGCACTCAGCCCATGGGTCAGCACCACACACTGCAGAAGCCCAGAGGGAGCAGGGAGAAGGAGCGGGGTCACTGTGAAAACACAAGCTGAACTCAAATGAGAAAAGGTGAAGCAGGAAACACAAGCTGAACTCAAATGAACTTCTCACTGAAGTTCAAGCAGGCCGTGAAATCACCACATAGTCCTCAGTGATCCTCTTGCTTCAGCCTCCTAAGTGCTGGGATTACAGGAGTGTATCATATCTGCCTCCATTTATGGTTGTTTTTTTGGTACCAGGAATTGAACTCAAAACCTTACACTTGCCAGGCAGGTGCTGTGCCACTGAGCTACACCCTTGGCCCTTCATTTATATTTTTAGAAATGCACAGGTGTAGGGAGCCACGCGACAGCCCCATTGCTGCCTCCCTGCCTCTCTCTCTCCTATGGGCACTGCGTCTGCCTACATTAACCATAATCCTCTCCTGCTTACATCACATACCCGGATGTGACGATGACCCTGTTGTATTCACCCCCGTAGCCTCTTCCTGTCCCATCTCCCACCCTTGGCCTATAAAAGATGTAATCACTTCCAGAATAAAATGAGACTTGATTGGAACCTCTCAACCTGTCTCCATCTCTCTTTCCTCTTGCCCAGCCCCCCATCCCCGTCCTCTATCCAGGCGAGGCCCACAGATTGATCCACGGGCCGGATCAAGTGGCGCCCAACGTGGCGCTCGACCTGGCATGAGAGATTTTGACGTGGGACCATTCACGTGATTAAATCACCGGCCGGCATGACTGTTTCGGGACTTCGTCCCTGTGATCTGTGCAGACGGCCACCTTACGTTTCGCCTGAATCTTCGCCTGAATCACGGTAGGTGAACGGATCTAATTTCTCCAGTGGCATGTGGCAAGTACTTAGTGAGCACGAATTGTTCGTGAATGGCGTCAGGAAGGCACTCAAGGTTAGAGGGATTAAGGTTAAAACTAAAGATTTACTACAGTACTTTCAGTTTGTACAGTCTGTGTGTCCATGGTTCCCTCTAGGGGGCACCACTGATTCTAAAAAATGGGAAAGAGTACGAGATGCTCTCAAAGATTATTATAGGGTTTTCGGTCCGGAAAAAGGTTCCAGTGACCACCTTTGCATATTGGAATTTAATCTCTGAGCTGCTTGCCCAGAGGCATGCAGATTCTCAGATTGAGGAGATGGTCACACAAGGCCTTATAGTACCCCTAAGATGGTGCCTGCCTCCGGCAAGCCTCATGGCACTCTTAAAATGGCGCTTGCCTGACTTCCGCCACATCAGGGTGGGTCCCTCCCCAAAACTGCGTTTCCGGTGACAAAAACAAACGTACCTTCCCAAGATGACGCCGCACAGCCGCAAGATGGCGTGGGCGCTGCGCTGCTAGCTCCACGAGTCATTAGGACACATACGCCATTCACAGTGGCTGCCTTAAAAGAATTAAAGGCAGCGGTTGCCCAATATGGCCCTACAGCTGCTTTTACTCTTGCTGTTTTAAATTCTCTGGCTGACGGCTGGCTCACACCTACAGATTGGCAAAGATTGGCCTGAGTGACTTTATCGGGTGGCGACCATCTTTTGTAAAAATCAGAATATACAAAAAATTGCAAAGAGACCGCCAGGTGCAATACACAAGCCGGCAATGGGTTCAACCTTAATATGTTAATAGTGAAAGATGCCTAGGCCAGCAGAGAGGCCCAAAAGGAGTTCAATCCAACACTTTTCGCTCAAATTCAAACAGCAGCTACTCGAGCATGGAGAAAGCTGCCTGCAAAAGATAATATGAGCTCCTTTCTCACTAGCATTAAGCAAGGCCCAGATAAACCCTTTTCAGAGTTTGTTGATTGTTTGATTGCTGCTGCTAGCGGAGTCTTTGGCCATGCTGATGCAGGCACTAATTTTGTTGAACAGCTAGCTTTTAAAGGTGCCGGCACCGTCTGCTGGGCCACTATCAGACCTCGTAAAAATAGAACTGGCCTAAAAAGATATATACATCTTTGCTATGGCTGCTTCCTTGCAGGGGTTTGCAGTTGGACAGTTCTTGTCTTAAAAGCATGAACAGGACTGTTTTGCCTGTGGAGAGACTGGTCATTTTACAAAAAGACTCCAGAGATAGAGATTCCAGGGTCAATTACTTTGACTCATTTAACTGATCGGAGTGATGGTCTAGTCTCTTAAGTTTAATTTCAGCATATATAAGGATGGGGACAGCTGCTGAGAAAAAAATGAGAGATACTATGGTAGTTATTATTATCTTCCCCAATGTCAGATCTTAAAAACCTGAGGAGCCTTCATCATCCTGTGGTGATTTGGTTAGTTCTATAACATGCAGTGTGTATTTAATGTGTGTGAAGATGGAGACAGCTGTTTGGAGGAAACTAGAGACAATTAGATAAACAGTAAAGATCTCCAATAGACTTGCTTTAAAATCTGTATTTCTTTAAATCTTTTTTTTAGAACGGTTTTGTTTTGTTTTGATATGTTTGGTCTTGCCCTCTTTGAGACGGAAGGCAGGTGTGTGGGACTGATAAACCTGTTACTGGGTTTTTGTTGGATCATTGAGCAGAACTGTTGGCAGTGTCACTGTTTGAATGTCACTTTACATGTTTTGATTTTGTAACCTGGACAGCTATTTCTAAGATGACAATATGTAACTTATTGACTGTTGATTTCTTACCATTTATTTTTCTGTAATTCTGTATTAAGATCACTAGAAAACAAGCCAGACAGATAGTAAAAAATTGCCTTTCTTGTGCCATGCGACTCCCAGTTCTACACTTTGGGGTTAATCCTAGAGGACTTATTCTCAATGCATTATGGCAAATGGATATCACCCACATTCCTGAGCTTGGCAATCTTAAAAATGTTCATTTAACTATAGATATCTTTAGTGGTTTCATTTATACCTCTCCCCAGACTGGCAAAGCTACTAAACATTATTAGCCATATGTTAACTACCTTATCAGTTCTGAGATGCCCACAACAATTAAAGACTGATAATGGTCCAGGCTATGCTAGTTCTGCCTTTGCTCGTTTCTGTCAACATCTTAATATTGATCATATAAAAGACATACCTTATAACCCTCAAGGTCAAGGCATAGTTAAAAGGGCACATCTCTCCCTAAAACTCACTGTTGATAAAATAAAAAAGGGGGAAATGGTACTCCACAAGGGAGACATCTAAAAATATTCTATCTCATGCCTTATTCATGCTTAATTTTTAAAATTTGGATGCTTCTGGACAGTCAGCAGTCATGCGTTTTTGGCATACTGAAACACAAAAGCAATTTGCTTCTGTACTATGGCAAGACCCCCTGACTAATTCATAGCATGGCCCTGATCCCGTTCTCATATGGAGATGCGGTTCGGTGTGTGTTTACTCTCGACAAGATAGAGAGGCTAGACGGCTACCTGAGTGCCTCGTAAAACAAGCAGACAGTTCTTTAAAGACCCCATGCAATGCCCAGGAATAATGTCATTTCCTGAGGCACAATCCCCTGTGTTCTCTTACAGGTGACACAACTTCCCGGAGCCCTATGCTGCCTACTCAGCCTTCTCCTTGAGCCGTACCACACCGATGGTGGATTTAGACCCCTGCCAACAGACTACAACTGCTGACAGCCATGCACAGAAGCCCCTGTGACTGCAGAGGAGGCTCTTGTCAGTCTGGAGGAACATAAACCAGCCAAATAGACTGCGTCCAGTGTTATGCGAGACAAGCTCCAAGAAATAGAAGAACGACTTCAACAACGACAACAACAAATGGTTGCAACCCCTTCTCCTCGATGTGTGTGTGGGGGGGAGCTTTTCCCTTACCTAACGCCCCTTTTGGGTCCCCTAGCTGCCCTATTGCTTCTCCTTTCTGTGAGTCCTTGTATTTTTCAGAGGATTATGATGCTCATTAATAACCGGATAGACGCGTTTATGGCAAAGCCCATTCAGGTACACTATCATCAGCTGGAGATGGCAGATCAACAAACCTACCGGGAAGGAATTCCCACGAGTGGCCCATATAACCATGCGGCCTAACTGCCCTGGGGCAATGGACAGGCAGCCAGAGACAGGCAACTAGGACATGCAAGTTAATTCCATTGGCCACCTAAGACAGGCACAGGACCAACTGCTGTCCTGCAAGCCCATGACAGGTAAGGCCTGGTTGGGTCCACGTAATGAGGTCCTTCACCTAAGACAGACGCTGTCCAGCAGGGCCTGCCATACTCCTGATTAAATAATATAGAAAGGGAGGAGATGTAGGGAGCCACGCAACAGCCCCATTGCTGCCTCCCTGCCTCTCTCTCTCCTATGGGCACTGAGTCTGCCTACATTAACCATAATCCTCTCCTGCTTACGTCACATACCTGGACATGACGATGAACCTGTTGTATTCACCCCCGTAGTCTCTTCCTGTCCCATCTCCCACCCTTGGCCTATAAAAGATGTAATCACTTCCAGAATAAAACGAGACTTGATTGGAACCTCTCAACTTGTCTCCATCTCTCTTTCCTCTTGCCCAGCCCCCCATCCCCGTCCTCTCTCTAGGCGAGGCCCACAGATTGATCCGTGGGCCGGATCACACAGAAAAAAAAATTCAGGGGAAAAAACTGCAAAAGTGTGGCTGCAAAGGCAGACCTTATACATAAAGTCAAGGTGCCCAGGCAGAAAGCTCAGCCCAGGTCCCGTCGAGGCCGGGGCAGCACTCACCACGGCCACGGGGTCGTTGCTGCGGGTGGCAGCAAGGCTGAAGTGCTTCACATGCCTGTTGCTCTCCAGAGCCTTGGCGAAGTCCTTCAGGGTCGGGATGGGGATGTTCTTGAAAGACAACAGGAGACATCGTTACACTCTACCCTCAGGAAATGCAGTCCATTCTCCGAATGTCTCTGGACTTGCACTCTGCCTTTCCAATGTCCTCGGAAACTACACTAACAGACACCAGGCACAGCAGGTTCCTCTGCAGCTGCCTGGCTTCCTTCTCCACGGGCACACGGCTGTCCCGAAGGTTTGGACAAAGGAGCTCCTCCACTCCTGGGAGGGGGACACAGCAAGAGAAACCCTGAGTCCCCAGACCTGAGACACCCAGGCCCCACACTGCCTGGGCAGCTTCCGACCACCCATGTGGAGATAGAGGGACGTGAGGCTGACGCAGGACACCAGCTGACCTCCACCGAGGTGCAGGGCCTCCTCCCTGCATCGCAGGGCTTGAGAAACCAAGACGGAAAATGAAGACCCTGAAATGAAAGTTCTGCACAATGCACAACACACATGTGACCCTTGGAAAAGCTGCAGGTTCAGGCCCAGGAAGATCTCAGAAAGCCCCTACGTATTCACCCCAAAGAAATAAACATGCGTTTGCACTGGAAACTGTGTGTCAATGTATACAGGTCTTCAGACATACCAACCACTTACCAGTCCAATTATTTATATACAGGATGAACAAACACTCTGTATTTTCATTAATTTTTATAAGATTTTTTAAAAAAAAGGAAATCCAAAACAACAGTTTTGTCACATTTATTCAATGCAAGAATTGGCTGGTTTGGTGGATGTGGTGGTGCATGTCTGTATCCCAGCACTTGCAAAGCTGTGACAGGAAGATTGTTGTGAGTTCAACACCAGCCTGGGCTACAAAGTGAGCTCAAAACCAGCCTGAATTGCACAGTGAGACTGTCTCAAAAAGACAAAAAGGAAAATAAAGAAAAAAAAAAAAAAACAATCAACTGGCTGAAGTGACACCCGCCTGCATGACACTCAGAATAACCAGCGCACACACAGCCATGCTGCCTGAGTGACGCAGGTGAGCTGTTGGGTGGTAAAGACCCTAAACAGGAAGCAACCCGCATGCCCGTCAGCTGACAGATGGGCAAGCAGGGACCACTGACCCGCACTGCAGTAGTCTTCCACAATGACGGAAGCCAGCGCCAGGGGGTCATTCGATACCGCGGAGTCGTCTCCAGTGCATGGTGCCCATGAGAACCCAGACTCCAGGCCGTGCTCTGTGCAATCTCAGTGCCACAGCAGGCGACAAGCCACAGGGACAAAGAGGGAAACTCGCCCTCAGCTGCCAGAGGGCAGGTGCCGAGTGACAGGCACACTTCATGTGTGACGCTGCTGCTCACTGCACAACTGCACGCATTTGTCATAACTCCTGGAGTTGCACACTTGCAAGGGAATTTCTACTACACATAAATAGCTCCTAGAAAACTCGTTAAAAAATAAAACTTTCCAAAGTTGCAGAGATTTACTGACAGCTTGTTAGATTTTTCTACTGAAGTCTTTAAACAGTCAGAAAGCACTGTGCTGCCCACTGTAATCTCTCAAATCTGAAGGAGCCTATGGCAGCATACTGCCAGGAGCACAGGCTTCCCCTAGACGAGAGAACAAGCCTCCTCTATGCACAGTCCCCAGCCGTCACCGGGTTCAGCAAACTCAGCACCACCAGACTACCGTACTGTCTACCAGATGTACCACTGTGGGGGGATGACCACTGGTGGGCAACTCAGAATGCCCAGCTGAACTCACTGAGCGTGGTGCTGGGTACAGAGGGCCACCCAACAACTGCTGCCCACAGCATAACAAAAAGAGAACCGGAGAGGACAAAGCAGTATTGGTTCTCCTGGGGCAGCTTGTCGAGTTCGCTCCTGATACAACTTGGCTATTCTCATTATCAGAGAAGCTCGGAACCTCACTGTTGCTGAGCATGGCTATGGTACTTTTGGGGGGAGCTCTGCTCCTTATTTTGAGTGTTGCTTCCTGGCTCCAGTGCAGATCCCTCAGCCTGCTGGCATAGATCCTTACTCCTGGCTGACACAGACTTTCTGGCTTCTGCTGCTAACCTCTGGGCATTCCTACTTAGATCCATGAAACAGACATGCATGAGTCATCGTCACCAGCTCTAAGTTGTCAGCTGGACTCATGCAGGACATTGCCATGGAATCTGGGCCTCAGTTGGATTTTTGGGGGTCTTTAGTGTGTGGACAGATTTAGTGTGTGCACTTTTGTCTGACTCTTTGGATGACTATTATAAAACAATTCTGTAAACTTTGTGTCCTATATTAAGCTGTTTTCCTTGCAAACCCTGACTACAATACGTACCTTTATATTGTTCAGGTTGACTTCCACGAGGTGGGTGTCGTTCTCCCTAATTCTCTTCAAGCTCTCCTCGACGTTGGTTGGATTTGGTGGCTCATCAAATACGGGGACAATCTTTTCACCTTTCACCACATCTGTGATGATAAACACAAGGAGCAGAGTGGACTGAGCTGAGTGACACTGGGACAGAGGGTACAGACACTGGCGAGGTGGCACACCTCTCCCTCACAGTACAAATCCCCAGAACTGAGTGATAATCCCCACAGAGCCTAGCCACAAGCTCTCACTGAGTACACAGAGCAGGCCGCAAGCCTGCCCACTTGGTGACATGTTCTGGATAGCGATGTAGTGGGGGAGCGCTTCCCCTCACCGTGTGAGGAAGTCACTGCTCACAAATGCAGAGGTTCCTCTCCCACTCCACAGGGTATGTGTAGAGCACCTGCCCCTGAACGAAGTGATAGGCCCCGTCACCAGGACACTGACATCACTAGGTGACGGGCGCCCACAGGACCTCTGCCTCAATCTCGCTCCCTGGAGATGAGGAGCAGATGGAGGAGCTCCTCCTATGACTCAGTCATCCTGATGGAGCACTGCTCATCCGTAACAGAGTGACCAGATGCACTCAGGTGTGCTGGTTCACGTAGCTAATATTTTGATTTTTACCTACATTACTCCTTCTTTCTTTTCTCTTCCCTCCACCATCACTGAAAAGCTGCCTTCTAGTTTCCTGCTGTCTCTTTTATTTATTCATTTCGATCTTGTTCTTATGAGAGAAAACACACTATACTCAACTTTCCTTTTTCTTTTTCTTTTTTGAGACAGGGTCTCAACTATGTAGCCCAGGCTAGTCTCCAACTTCTGCTTCTCGTCCCTCAGCCTCCCCAGTGCTGGGGTTACGGGCACATGCTTCACACCACCACGACTGAGAGGCAGGCTTGTGTCACTTAACATGAGGGGCTCTAATTCTATCCATTTTTCTGCAAATGACATTTCATTCTTTGTGCCTGTGTATATAGTATGCATTCTTTACCTGCTCACCTACTTCCAAAGTATAGCTATTGTGAATTTTGCTGCTATAAAGATGGGCATCCATGTATCACTGCAGTGTAATGCTTTCATCAGTATGGCAAGTCCTCAAACTAAACATAAGAAATCCCATTTACCCAGCTATACTGCTCCTGGATCTGTGCCCACAAAATAATCAGGACTGTTTTTATACTCTTGAGGACAGCCACTCTGAGGTGACTCTCAAAGCACTTTTGATGTGTACTCCCTAATGCTTATGGGTGGACATTTTCTTCATACACTTACTGGCCATTTGTGCTCTACTTCTTTTGAGAAGCATCAGTTCATTTACTCACTTGTTGACTGGGCCATTCGTTTTGGGGAAATGCAAGAATTTTTGAGCTCTTTATAGACTCTACATATGCATCCTGTATCAGAAGATCAGCTGACCAAATTTTTCTCCTCCTGTTGCAGGCTCTCTTCACTGCTACCTGCTTCTTTTGCTGAGCAGCTTTTAACCTGACACGGCCTGTGGGGCGATCCCTGACTTCACCCGTCTTACTACTGCTCAGGAAGTCTCCTCCTTCCTAAAGGAAGTGTCTTCCTGTGCTCTCTTCCAGCAGCTGCAAAGTTTCTGGTCTTATATTCAGGTTTGTGATCATTTTCATTTTATTTTAGCATACGGTAAAAGACAAGGACTTAGTTTCAGTCTCAGGGATGCATTCTTACAAAATAAAACATGCACTACACCCGACCTAACCAAGTGGTTAGTTTCAACAGTGTGCTGAAACACAGAGGCAGAACACCAGAAGGCTGTAATCAGCCAAATCTAAAATGTGGAAATTTTTACTTGACAAATAACCCAGTTTCAACAAATAAATGGCATAAAAAGGGGTGAAAGGTGGAGAACTGTTTGGAAACAGCAGCTGAGAAAACCACCATCTGCAACACACACACTTAGATCCAGATCTCACCACGTGTGACACAGCATAACTGAGAGAGTAACGAAGTCTGGCCCTGAGCTGCACTTCAGAGGATGTGAACGAATTCACTCTGACTGTGCGGTGGGTGCCTGGCATCCAAGCCAGAGCTCCTGCATAGCAGCCAAGTCTCCTCCACTGAGCTACTCTGCGGCTCTTCAATTTCTTTTCCTTCCACTATTTTCTGAGACAATATCTTGCTAAGCTGCCAGGCAGTCTTGAGCTGACTATCCTCCGGCTCTAGCTCCCAAGCAATTGGAGTTTCAGCACTCTCCACCGCACATGGCTCTACAAATACATTTTTAAAAATGCTTTGTTGTAAGTGATTTAACACTGCATCAGACTGAAAGTTTTAGAGGTTGAATGTTTTGGTGGTTTCTCCTGAATCTGATAAAATAATTTGTCAGAATTACTGTGGAGTTCTTAAAAATGAGTAGCAATGATAATAAAATATTAGTAAAAAATAAGTATGACTTTTTTAACATTAATATTAGTTACTAAGGTGAGAGTGGTTCCTATAAAAACCGCTGCTGATGCATTAAGCATAAATTATTTCAGTACTATTTTCAATGGTGATCTTTGTCAGTATCATTAAGCTAGAGTTTCAAGATTCAAGTATGACATTGGGTGTATAAATACTGATGGCTTTACAGGCAGGAAATAGGACGTATTTAATAGAAGACTGGAACTCACTTGAGAAGTGTTCTTGGCTGACACCATTACTGCTTCCCACAATGCTGCAGAACTGTGTGTCTGTTATCAAGTTGTGCATCCCAAGGATGGCTACGGAGACGGAAGGTGAAAGTTAGTTTTTATTTCCTCCTGGTCATGTTTTGCAGGCAATCTTACTATGTGCTACCCGGGGAGGACATGAACTTCTAGACTCAAGAGATTGTCCTGCATCAGTCTCTTGGGTAGCAGGGACCACAGGTATGTGTCATTCTGCCTGGCTTATGACTAAATTAAATACAGATTTTTTTTCAGCCGTAAGAAAAACAAAAAAAGAAAAAGGACCACAAATGATTAAAATTTCCTCATTATCTATTCTCTCCAATAGCCGTGTTATTTTCTCCCACCTTCTGAACTTAGATTCCCCCCTATTTTTTATTTTATTTATTTTTGGTATAAGGAATCAAAGTCACAACTTTGTCCTTGTGAAGCAGGCACCTGCGCTGCTGAATTAAATTCCCAGCCCCCCTCCCCATATTTTAAAATTCAGGCCCACAGCTGAAGCCAGCCTAACCCTAAAATACTCAAAGTAATAATTTTTCTATTTAAGAATAAGATACCCCGTTGTTGTTTTGAAATTTTTCTTTGAAATAAAATGGATTTGAAAAAAAAAAAAAAAGGCAGATTCCTTTAAAAGGACATACAAGATGCAACTGGTGGCCTTTGTTTTCGATGGGCTTTTGTACAAATAAGGCAGAACTGGTATATGCCTGGCCACACCCTCTGGGGAGAGTGCCATTCCTGTGCCCACCAGTGCAGTCCCGCAAGGCTGAACCACGCTCCAGCTGCTATGCACCACCCCATACTGTGCCTTCCTAGGACTGTCCCCCAGGCTCGGCCTCTGTCTCCAGACATGGCCACACTGGGGTTACGGGGTACAAGGAGCATCCCACGTGTGTGGCAGGGGGTGAGCACAGCATGGAGATTGGGGTGGCAGAGCACTTGGGCAGCCAAGGCTGACCGTTCGCACTACTTGCGACCCAGGCCTGGGTCTCCAGACGAGACACAGTGTGGCCCCTGCAGCTGAGCACCAGTGGATAAATTTCCAGCATGGGGCATGGGAAGAGGGGCCAGTGGCCGGGTGAGGGAAAAGGAATCACCCTCGAGGGTGTTCCATACTGGGAAATGTGTGCTGGCATCCCTGGCCCCAGGCCTCACCTGCGAGGTCACATAGCTCTGTGTCAGACGCACTGGTCAGAGCCTCTTCTAACTCTGGGTCAAGGGAGATAGTTTCTTCTGTAAAGGTTTGCACAGGTTTCTGTTTGGGGACAAATATTTTCCCTGTAAAAGAAAACTCTGTGAACTCCATGCCTGCTGAGGCTCACATTACAGAAGCATGCGAGCTGCACCAGCTCACAAGAGAAACACTGAAAGAAACCTTCCCACCTGCGGAAATAAAAATGGGTCTTCCAGGAGTGATTCTGAATTGCTTTATACATACAGAACTGACACTGAAGAAACTATAAATCTACAAGCCCTTAAAGTTACTTTAGAAAACAGAGTCCAATTTCTTATTCTTAAGCAACAAACATGGGCACTTAAGGGATGGCAGAGGCAATTCTGATTCCAGACACTCACATTTCAATTGCAAAGAAATTTCAGTGTGCTCTGAGTGAGATTCTGAATTGCTGATCCCTATTCCTCTAAGCTTACAAGGGTTAGCCTGTAACAAAACCAGTCACCTTGGAAACTGAGTTTTTCTCTATGTGAAAGTCAGTCTTTTTATCACCATACACTGCACAGGACTGAAAATCTGAAGGAATCAATCAGTGGAACAAGCTGACCAACAGCTGAACCCCTGCAGGTAATACATGTCTATAATCGTAACACTCTGGAAGGCTGAGGCAGGAGGATTCCAAATTTGAGCCTACATGGGCAACTGAACAAGATCCTGTCTCAAAATAAAAACAGAAAAGGGCCAGGGATGTAGCTCAGTGTCCTGGGTTCGACGTTGCCAGAAAAACCAAAACCAAAACCACATCTTTTCATCTTCATTACCACCATGCTACCTCCCTCACACAGTTCTGCGAATACTGTTAGCTGACCTTTCCGAATCTCCACCCTGTATTTACACAGAGCTGCTTCCCGTGCTAATCTGTTTCCCTTGGTCCTGCTGACACCATTCAGCAAGTCACACATCTTCCATGTGGCAGTGTGAGGTAGTGCTGCTCGCTCCCCTTCTCCTGGACCTGTCTACCAGCCACTGTCTCCAAGTTTCAGTCTCCAGGGTGCCTGCCTCAGCCTCCTGAGCTCCTACCCAGCCAGTTACACCCTGCCGTTCTCAAGCTTCTCAGACCCAGCCTAGGGTCACTGTCAGCCACATGCATTTTCAATGGTCGGTGGCCATGGCTCTGGTCGCTGGGGCATGTGGCTCCACCAAGGAACTCTTAAGAACTTCTGGTGTTCCAGTTCCTCTCAGAGATTCTGACTTAGCTGGTCTGCTGTGCTGCCTGCGGCACCCGAGGTCTTAATCCCCAGCATGACTGAAATGCTGCAGCCACAGTCACTGACTAAACCAGCTCACCACCACCAAGGTTCAAGATCAAACGTGTGTGAGATGCTCAGCCTGCCAGCCTGCTGACGTCATGCACCCCGCAGACACGGTGCTACTCGCCAGCTAAAAGAGCAGCCGCCCAGACCTGCTGCAGGGACTGATGGACTCCAAAGCACCATAAAAATTTAAGATGTTTATTTCTGTAATCCTTATCTGCATTCTTCAAGAAATTCTGATGCCTAGAGTGATCATCTTTAAAAAAACAGAGCAAAACAAAACTCAAGAACTAGAGAAATTCTTGAATAAAGAATTCTGTTGTAGATCATAAAGCTGTATATTTTATGCAAAGTGTCACCTCTTCTGGAGCTCTAATTCTTCTGCACGTAGGAATTCCTGCTGTAGAGTTATCCAGCCTATAGAATACTGTGTTTATAACAATATATGCAGTATTTACTTAATATTTTCTTCATGGTTAGTTTGACACTAATTGTAACATGTTATTTTTTATGAAATTTAGCTGTAGAAAACTAAAAGAAATTAATTTTGTAATAAAGAATAAATTAGGCAAGATCTATGCTTAGTAGTAGGAACATAAAATACAAGGGCTCTCTTCAAGTTGACTTATAAAGTCTCTCTCAAATCCTAGTAGATTGTTTCACAGAAAGTAACAAAGCTGATGTAAAAATTCATATGGAAATCCAACAGACCCAAGGGAATCAAACAATTTTGGAAAAAAAAAATGGAAGAATTGGGGGCTGGGGATTTAGCTCAGTGGCATAAGCGCCTGCCTTGCAAGTGTGTGGTCATGAGTTTGATCCCCGGCACCAATAAAAAAGAAAAAGACAAAAAAAAAAGAGGAAGAACTTGTTGTACTTGACACTGAATTTTAATGTAAGCCTACTATAATCAAGTAAGTATTAAGGAAAGATATTTAAATCAGTGGAGAATCGAGAAACTTGTGTACTTGTGACCAATTGATTTTTCTCTGCAAGAATATAAAGACAATTCATTGGAGAAAGGAAGGGGTACTGTTTCAACAAACTGCAGTGATACAACTCGACAGTTCTCCTCTCAAAATGCAACTGGATTTCTACCTCACCCCACACATAAATACACACTGAAGGGGGTGGAGAAGAAGAAAAAATAAGAGCTGAGATGTATTATGCACATGTACCAATTCCCCACAATGAACGCAATCACTATGCACTGCAGATGTGTACTAATAAATTTTAAAAACCCAGTACTAATTTAAAAATGGATTGTAGGCCAACATGTAAGAGCTAAATTTGTAAAACTCCTAGAAAAAAATGTAAGAGTATATCTCCCTGACCTTCTACAACAAAGAAAAAATAAACTGCACTACCTCAAAATTAAAACCTCTGCAAAGCGAATGACACCATCAAGAAAATGAATGAACTGCATGTGGTGGCGCAACACCGTAATCCCAGCACGTGGGAGGCCGAGGAAAAAGACTACTGTGTGAGGCCTGGGCTACACAAGCAAGCTCCCGGCCAGCACACAGGCCTCACTGTATAGTGAGACCTTGTCTTAAAAATAAAAGGCAGTAAAATCAGATATATAGATGTCTAACACACTTACACCTCTCAGTGGCACTGGTCACTAGGGAAATGAAGTCCAGCTACAGGAAGGAGCAGGAGATGTGGCTCAGTGGCAAAGCCGCTTGCTTAGCAGGTAAAAGGTCTTTGATTTAATCCCCAGCAAACAAAAACGAAATAAAAAGCAACCTACAATGTAACTAATGTTACTTCACACTCAATAGCAGGCCTATCACCAAACAGACAGATAATGAGTTAACAAGGACATGGAAACCTTACTTTTCATGTGTGTTTTGTCATTACCACACAGGGTATTCCCTATGCAGTTCAGGCTGGCCTGTAGCTCCCTTTGGAGCCCAGGCTGGTCTTGAACTCACAACAATCTTTCTCCCGAGTGCTGGGACTACAGGTGTGCACCTCTACACCCAGCACATCATCTACCACTGGTGACAATGTAAACTGGTGTGGCCATATCTAGAAGGCAGTGCACTAGCTTGAGTTGCTCAGCGCAGCTCCCACACAGCAGGGTTTGGAGGCACCCGAACCCTGCTGCAGCCCCCATCTGAGGTGGGCCTGGCAAGGGGCTGACAGGGTGGGATCAGTCTTGCTGAGCACAGAGCTGGGCAGGCTCTTGGAGCCTTTAAGGGGTGCTCCTGCCCTTTGCCCCCATCTTCTCTGCTTCCTGGCTGCTCTGAGGGAAGCAGCTTCCCTCAGCTGCAACCTCTCTGTCTCACCACAAGCCTGACAGTGATAGAGCCACTGACTGGATCCAAAGCCTCTGAAGCATAAGCCCTTTTGCTGTCCAATGCCGGGCATTGAGGTCCCAGCAAGGAAAAGCTAATGCATTCTACAGCCCTGGAATTCCATTCCCATGTACATACCCAGAGGAAGGAAAACGTGACTTCCTTAACAATTCACATATAAATGTTCAGAGCAGCGCACCCAGAACGATAAAGAAGCGGAGAGGACTCAGCTGTCCGTCGGTTGATGAACAGCCACAAAGACAAGCCACAAAGACAATCCCCAGCACTAGCAGAAGGGGAAACACCAAAGTAAACGCTAGTGCCCGCTGTGACAGCGATGCAGGAGAGCAGGACACCATGAGAGATGACACACTATGCATACATGCTGTGCAGTCCTTTCCATGAACTGTCTGAGGCAAGCGAACTGATAGACAGGAAGGAGGTCCGAGGCTGACTAGGGCCTTCCGATGGGGAATAGAGACTGACTGCAAATGGGACACAGTGTCATTCTGGAGTCACGTTAACTCGTTCAGTACAAAGCGACAGCAAAGGAAATAAGAACAAACTGAGCTAAGAACTCTGTGCCAAGTTCAATGCATGGCACTTGCCCAAACCCACGTTTATGCCAGTGGGGTGGGGAGATACACTGCTGAGGCCTTTGTGACTGTCCCAGCAGTAAGAGGCTCTGTGCACCAGGCTAACAACCACCGTGAGGGCCCAGTCCCTCCCCAGCCATCTGCACCATGGCAAGTTACAGAGACAGAGAATGTTAAGATGGCCCTCATCAGATCCAGCCCTGCTAAATAAATATAAAAACAAAATACCAAAAACAGAGGTGGTTCTGATTTCGCTCACTCATACAGCTAGGTTACTGCCTTGTTCAGAAACAATTCCAGGTCGTGGTGTCACTGTCACCTCAGAGGCTTTGGCACAGACCTTCTGACAGAAGCAAGCACTTAGAAGGCTGAGGCAGGAAGATTAAGAATTCATTGTCTGTCTGTCTGTTTGTTTTTGGGTGCCGGGGATCAAATTTATCACCTTTAGCTTGACAGGCAGGCAGGAGAATTGTCAGTCTGGGCCACAGGGCAAGTTCAAGGCAGGCCTGGAGTACACAGTGAGATCTTGTCTCCAAAAAACCAAACAAAAAATGAAAATTACCAATATGCAAAGAAGTAGGAAAATTAAACCATAAGGAGGGGAAAAGTAAGTTAAAGCTAACTTAGCAATGATGGAATTAGCAGACAAGGGTGTCTGACAGTTCTTTAAGAAGCCTTTAACAGCCAGTCCTCATGGTGCATGCCTGTAACTCCAGCACTATGCAAGAAGACAACTGCAAGTTTGAGACCAGCCTGGGCTACAAAGTGAGTTCAAAGCCAGCCTGAGGTGCATAGTGAGACCCTGTCTTAAATAGGCAACCCCCCAAAAAAGAATGCTTTATGATGGGAATCACGTAACTTGGAAGGAATTTTAGGAACTGCAAGATATTACTGTAATAGTGAGGAGACAGGGAGGTAACACTGTCCCTAGGCACTGAGGCCGATCACTGCCTAAGAAACAGTACTGTTTAAGAGACATGGACACTTCAATGGAGTCTAACTAGAGCTCTGCTCTGCCATCAGTTCTGCCCCAACCAGGCCCAGAAACAACACAGCCAGCTGACCAAGCTCTGAAGCTAGGGCAGCAACAACCCTTCCCTCCTGTAACCTGCGCACTGCAGGATTCGCTGCAGCAAAGGAAAGCTAAGGCACTGTATTCTTCAACACTCTCATCTCCCCCACTCACAGAACCCATTTCCCACAATTCTGCTGTTTCCCCATGTCCTCTATTCCTCTGAGACCCTTCCTAGGAGCTTCAAACAAGAGCCTATTAGGAAGTTTCCCAGGTGCTCAAACACAGCACCTTAGCACCTCTTATTTTCTCTCTTAGTCCTAAAATTCCACAGTTTTATGGGCTCTTTTCCTCTCTTTTTACTTTTTCCTGATTATACCGCACAAGCCACCTGGAGCACATAGAATACTAAAGGCCGAATATCAATGCTGGTTCTTAAAAAACTGTTCTCCTACATAAGCAGGATGAGAGCTGTAGAACTGTTCTGGCTCTGTCTGTACATATGCAAGTATGACAGCAGTCTTGTCACAGCAAACACAAAGTGAAGGAGCCTCTGCCTGTCTTTGTGACTTGCCCTGGGTACTTCAAACCTGGGCACTGGCTCTCAGCTCTTTTGATTCCATGCACCTGAAGAATGCAATGTCCCATCTGTAGTAGCATTGTGACGGCTGATTTTCTATGTCAACTCAGTGCTGGGATACTTGGTCAAATACCACTTTGGATGCTCCTGCTCAGGTATTTGCTGGCTGTGACTAACTTTAATCCAACAGACTTTGAATAAAGCAGGTCACTCTCAAGGTTGGAGGTGGTTTCATTTGGCCCACAGGGGACCTTGGCAAAGACTGACCTCTTCCACCTGAGACAAATCTCTGCCTACAGACTGTCTTTGAACATCTACCTCACTCTCTAAAGCAAGACCAGGGAGGAGGGGTGAGGAGTGACAGATGATTCAGAAAAGGCATGATGCAGAAGTTGAGAGTAACCTCCTCACACCTTACTCACTAACCTTTCTCTGCTATGGAAGCTGGATTCTATAATTAATTTGCTAGCTGCTCCAGAAAATAGAGGGCAGCTAGGAGACAGTTCTGGCCAAAATTCCTGGGCAGGGTGTCCTTCTCAATAGAAAGCCCCTAGGATAAAGCACTATGCTCCAACCCTTTCCTCCTGCCTGGGTCATGGCAGAAGAGATGTAAACAGCATGTCCTGCACACTACTCCACAGAAGGGAATCTCTTTAGCCCAGCTGCATTCTGAACCACTGGGGAAGCTGAAAAACTTCTGCTATTTCCTGTAAGCAATACTGTACAGAGAACTTTCAAAAACACAGCTGTACTCGGTCTCTGGCAAGGATTCGGAAGATCAAGCATTGCAACACAAGGGAGCCAGACTGGAAAAGTGTCCAGAAAGTAACCACTAGGACATCAACAATCACAATCACGAATTAAGAAAGTAAGGGCACAAAGGATCTTTTTAGGATTTTTAAAGTACCCTCTATCTTTTAGAGAGCACTTTAAAAATATGGCATGGATCATTTTACTTCATTTTATTTATTTTTAAAATTTTACTTTTTGATCTCACTATGTATTCTAACTGACCTTGAACTTACCATGTAGCCCAGGCTTGGCCTCAAACTTACACAATCTTCTTGCATTAGCTTCCTGAGTACCAGGACTATAGGTGTGCACCACCACACTGAACATGAATGATTTTATAACATCCCACTTAAAGAAAGGAGTCAGAGTCTGGGTGGCACACACTGGAAATGGCAGCACTTGGGAGGCTGAGGCAGGACGACTATTGCAAGTTCAATGCCATCCTGGGCTACAAAGTGAATTTTTTTTTAAACGGTACTGGGGATTGAATGCATGACTGCCTGCTTGTAAGGCAGGTGCTTATGCCGCTGAGCTAAATCCCCAGCCTACAAAGTGAATTTAAGGCCAGCCTGAACTACATAGTGAAACCCTGTCTCAAAAAGACACTAATAGTAATAATAATAATAATGCATAAAAAATAAAGGTGTTAGAACTGAGCATGGCTTTAGCATCATCTATCCTCTGTAATACACTAGTGAACTTAAAATTTTACTCAGCACTGTTCCAACACCACAGAACTAGGGAGTGTTACACAAAATCATTGGGTAAAAAGCCACATTAATATGTTCTTAAGTAAACAGCACTGGATCTAAGGCTGCTAATGCCTGGACCTCTCTAAACAGATTTTCTCCATGTTGTCTATACGAAGGAGAACCTGCTGCCACCGCTTGACCTTGAAGCCCCTGGCCTTGAAGCCTGGCTCACCTTTCTTCTCCCCGGTGTAGGGCACGTAGTCCTCCCTGTCTTTGTGCTCCAGTGCTTCCTTCTCCAGGAACGAGAGCAGGTGGTCTCTGTCAAACGGGCCAGTGGCAGCCTTGGAGGTCTGGTTCTTCTGCCGGAATCCTGCAGGTAGAAGGGCGTTCTGCCGGAGAATGAATCAGCCATTACGACACCGCCACAGAGAAGGCTGATGCCCCGTGCTTCTACAAAGCACCTTGGAGAGTCCCAGACTACAGTGCAATGCACTGGACACTGCAGCTGGGAGCCAAGAGCGGTGGCATGAAGGGCTCTGAAAGCAGTTCTTTTTAAAATCTGGTACAATTCACTGTATTTAAAATGGGCAGCTACTTAAAAAAAAAAAAAAAAAAAACTGGGAAAAAATAAACTGGGGACCTATATACTTTCTTAAGAAAATATCCTAGTTTTTAGCTACCCAAGGACTATAATAAAATTTTTAATGCTTACTGACTATTCAGCATACACAAACCTGTATTAATTCTATTGCCAAAGCATCTGAAGCAGCTACACGTACACCTTCATAACGACTGCCTTGTAAACACACGGTCTCTCGTGCTGGACACACGTGATGTGGAGAGAGCAGTAGCTTAGTGCTGGCTTGTTTGTTGCAGCCTGGGATCTCCCACAGACGTGCTGTGCGTCCGTCAGCACGCACCCGATGACTACACTGTGTCCTGGAGCTAAATCAACCACCTGTGTACCCGAGAGCAATTTGGGGCCTCGGTACAAAGTGAGCACCCACTGGGAAACCAGTGGCGCCACTGCTAGACCTCATCCTTGGAGCCTCCACTTTGTTTGACAGACAAGAGGCACCCAAGAAGCTTCCAAAGGGCTGAGGCTCTTCTGATCCCTCCAACATCAGCAGTGATGTGACTGCACAGTGTGCATGGTAATGGGAAATGATCATCTTATAATGGAAACCACAGCACTTCAACTTTGGTCATCTGTGAATCCCCATACTAATTTCCTGAAATTAGTATATATCCTCCTGCACAGAACCGCACTCATTACACAATGAGTGACCTCTACCGATGGACTGCAGCAGGGCTGTCCCTAATCCTGCACTGAGGATCAATTCATATCCATACTCAGCTACCTGTGGGGCCCTAAGAAAGAAACATAAGATTTCTGCCCCTAGACTGTGAAATCAGACAAGAGCGGCACCATTCGCGCTCAGGCCCAGGCCCACCCCATTCCCACTTCCTTGGAACCAGCTGCTCTGTGTAGCCTCCAGCCAGGTGCCCACTGGCTCGCGGTCGCTCTGCCCACCCCCCAAGCCCTCACTTTTCCCACACCCTTTGCCCCATGCTGGCCCTCAGATCTGGGGCAGCTAGCCAATCAGTTCCCGTATCACGGACCTCAGGGATGGCAGGCCCAGCTCTCAGATGCGCCTCGCCTGCCCTAGGGCTCCTTACTTTAAAACCTGTGGCTCTGCTTCCCAGGCGATGCTGTTCCTGACCTTTCCTCCTAACTCCCCACCATCTCTCAGACCGGAGGTGACTTCTGGGCAACACTGACGCCTGCGTCAGGAGGCAGGGGCACGTCTAGTTGGCTCACGCTTGTATCTAATGCCTGGCACAGTACCAGAGCCTACAGGGGGCCCTGAACACTCACTGGATAGAGTCTAGGATACTACTGGATAAAAAGGCTCACTGAGACAAACTAACAAAAAGCCATTTTCCTTCTGCACCCATAAAGCATGCACGTACACACTGCTGCTTCATGGTGGTGGGGACAGGGCTGCACTATTCCACTGGCCCACTCCAATCCATGTGAAATGATACCGTTTTAAAAGACATGACATGAGGCTGGGTGTGGCTCTGCACATCTGTAATCCCAACACTTGGGAGGCTGAGACATGAGGATTGCCACGTTCAAGGCCAACCTGGGCCACATAGTAATTTCACAGCCAGCCTGAATTACACAGTGAGACCCTGTCTCAAAAAAAAAAAAAAAAAAAAAAAAAAAAATCCCCAAAAAAGTACATTCTAATGGGGTATGGTGGCACATGCTTGCCATCTCAGCACTTTGGGGAAGCCAGTCTGGGCTATACACTGAGTTCAAGGCCCATGAGGACTGCATAAAGACAGACTTGACTTGAAAAACCACATACACACAAAGCTGGGCCTAGCTGACAGGCTTATACTTCCGGCAGTGTGAAAGGCTGAGACAGGAGGATCCCAAATTAGAGCCCAGCCCAAACAAGTCAGCAAGGCTGTCTCAACAAAACATATTAGGAAAGGCTGAGGATGCAGTTCAGTGCAAAGGTCCTGGGTTCCATCAATCTCCACTCCAGGACCACAAACAAACCATACCACAAAGAGAAGAAAAAAAATTGCCACTTTAAATGGTCTTTGTCCCTTGCTGTAGAACTTTGCTGTGATAATATACCCACAGCCGTGGAAATGAATCAAATCACATTCAGCCTGCGTTTACTCTCCAGCAGCCAAAGGAAACAAAACACGAACACAACCCTCCCTCCAGGAGCCACCAGCACCTAGCAGCACCTCCCCCACACTGGGGGACAGTGCTCCCTCCTATACCCCAAGTCACAAGACAAACAGCAGCCACTCTGAACATAGAGCGCGCGCGCACACACACACACACACACACACACACACACACACACACACACACACGCAGACATCCCTGACTCCCACGGGCCCACCTTCTGGATGTTGCAAACACACACCCACACTGCACTGCTTTGAGCTCTCACTGAGAGACCACACGGGGATGGATCCCCCAGTCTCACTGCCCAAGCGTTCTGAAGGAGGGCTGGGTACCGCAGATGGGCCTGTTAGGAGTGGGGACGCAGGAGCTCTGGGCGCTGCTCCACTTGCTCCACAACTGCCTTGGCACAGCAGGACGTGAGGCAGAGGCTCAGCACCTCTCAGCAGGGCATGCTGGAGTTTGAGGCCATAAAGACCGGGACACTGAGCCGTGCTGGCACCACTGGACACACAGACAGTGAGCGTGGAAGCACAGGTGGCCTGCTATGTGTGACTAGGGTACCCTGAGAGCAGTGAATGCGCTGGGGTGGTTGGGGGGACGTAGGGAGGCAGCAGCCCCATCACATGGCATCAGGCAGGCAGGAACGGGCAGGGAGGAGCTGGCTCCTCCGGGGAGAGCAGAGGTGGGGAGGCAGTTCCATTACTCAGCTTCGTCGGTGAACTCCCACCTCGGGGTCCAGATCATCCAGAACTGTCTCCAGCTGCTTGAGCTCCAGCTCAGACAACTTCCCCAGCAGCTCGTCCTCATCCAGGTCCTTATACTTCTCCAGGTCCTTCCGGAAGGGCAGTGCCATGCCTCTCAGTGTGGAGTGTCACCAGGTCTCTCCCAGGATGTGGTCAGAAGAGATTCCTGTTTTTTGTCTTAAAGCTACTGGAAAAGAAAGAAGATATTTAAAACTCTGTGCCATCTCTTCTCCCTGAGCCCAGTGCATTTTAGGGTAAGCGAACTGCTCCTTCCACCTGCCCTGTGTCCTCTGCTCACCTAAGCATACCCCTCTCCTCCCTCTAGAGCTCACTCCAGCCTTTGCTTTTCTGTCTTTTCTTGACAAAATCATCAACTGGGAAAAAAAAGAGGAAGGATGAAAGTGAAATCTATTAAAATACATGGTCAGTAGTACATAGGATTCAGAATGTCTGGTAAATGAATTTAGGGGTGAAGAAGTTATAATACTGCATGAACCGAATTCTCTCTGGGCACCATCTCCTCAGGCAGAGGGCTGGCAGCATGACCTGGGGCACATCTGCTCCCCCTCACCTCGACAGATGGTGACTGGGGCCTACGCACTCTCCAGGAAGGGCAAGTCGCCTTCTGCCCTGGAGAAAATGCTTTTGAAAATGTATACCTGAAACAAGGCACGCGCCTGTGTGGATGTGCACATGCAGGTGTTCCTGAGGGCGGGACTCATTCTGGCAAGTTGGTTCCCCACTTTACAGCAAGACTGTTTCCAACTTCACTGCCTCCCCTGTCCCTTCCACCCCCATGGGCTCCCTCCCCTCTCCGTGGTAACTCAGTGCCATGCAGACTGCAATGCTAGGGAAATGCCACTGCAAGGCCACCAGGACCGCCACCACAGAACTTCGGTGATACCCAGTTAGCAAGGAGGAGAAGCAGCCTGAGCAGATTCAGGCAGTTGTGTCACTCTGAAAATAGTTAGATGTCTTCAATGTCCAACTCCTGGCTTGAAAAGGTGTTTTTAAAAAAGAACAACTCAGCATCTTGAAAGTGTTTCAGTAAAAGACTCAAGTCATGTCAGGCTGTGTCCCCCGCAGATGGCAAGGTGGCCAGGAGAGGTCCCCCAGGGATAGACTTGCACTTGGGAGAAGGATTGGCATTCCCAAGTACTGTGAAGCCAGTCAACAAGCAGCACTGCCCCAGACACACAGGACTGCACCCCAGGAATGGACACTTAAGATACATCACATGGCAACACCTGGATTTGGTAAACACTGCATTTTTCTTGGCTGTTAAATGCCCAGGGTTTCAAAGTTTGTGTCTGTCCTCTGTTCTCTCCAAGTTTTCCTATTTAACATTTTAACATCTGCCAATCACTTTTGTCAGAGAGCACTGCTCACTGCTAGGCACAGTGGCACTCTTGTGATTCCAGCACTCTGGCAGACTGATGCAGGAGAACCTCAAATTCAAGCATAGCATGGGCAACTTAGGAAGACCTTGTCTCAATGTGAATAAATAAATAAATACATTTTTGGTGGGGAGGCATAGGGATTGAACCTAAGACCTTCACACTGAGCTATGCCTGAGCCCCATCCCCCTTGTTTTTTCTTTCTTTTTTTTTTTTTTTTAACAGGGGATCGAACTCACGATCTTGTACTTGCCAGGCAGGTACTTATGCCACTGAGCTAAATCCCCAGCCAAACACATTTTTAAAAAGGGCTAAATGTGTAGCTCAGTGCAAAGGTCATTCCCAGTACCCAGCCTACACATACAAAAAGAAATTTTGAAGAAGTTGAGAGGTAATTTTAAATAGAAAATATATATATTTTTAGACAAGGTCTCACTATGTAGCCCAGCCTGGTCTTGAACTCACAGCAATCCCCTTGCCTCAGCCTCCTGGGTGCTGATAAGTGAAAAATTACAAGTAAGACCATTTTGGAAAAAAAAAAATCTTTCTGGGTGTGATGACACATGCCAGTCATCAAGCTGAGCCAAGAAGACTGCCATGGAAATACATAAATAAATAAGTTTGCCATGAGTTTGATGCCAGCCTGGGCTACATAGTGAGATCCAAGAAAAAAAGGAAAAGAAAGAAAAGAAAATATTTCCCCTCATAAGAATACCAGTGACATTAAAAAAAAATACTAGTGATACAGTATTTGACACAGATGAGGATAAGAAACTAATAAAAGTATATGGATTATGTATTAAGAATAATTTAGCTATTTTATGCTAAAATATGCTAAACTTTGCTAAAATTACACAATTATGTTTGCATAATTGATAGCTTAAAGTGTGCTTGAATATTATTTTATTTTGTTTTATTTTATTGTTTGGTGCCAGGGATTAACTCATGACCTTGCTTGCACTTGCCAGGCAGCTACTTATGCCACTGAGCTAAATCCCCAGCCCACTTTAACTTATTCTTGAAAATTGTATGATACAAAGATTTCTTTTTTTTTTTTTTTGTCTTTTTCCTTTTTATCGGCACCAGGGATCGAACTCACAACTGCCTGCTTGCAAGGCAGGCGTTTATGCCGCTGAGCTAAATCCCCAGCCTCAATACAAACATTTCTTAGCCAGTAACTCTCTCATAATCTTTTTTTTTGTTGTTGTTTTTTGTTTTTATCGGTACCAGGGATCGAACTCACGACTGCCTGCTTGCAAGGCAGGCGCTTATGCCGCTGAGCTAAATCCCTAGCCCCACTCTCTCATGATCTTAATTATTTCAGGCATCCCTTCCCTTACTCTCAAAGCATCCCAATGTGGGCCCTGAATTCAACGGTCACTCTTCTAACAGAGTCATCTGAGGGACAGGAATGAATGAGACAGGAGGGACAAAGGCAGTGCCCAGGACCACGGGGTTTGTAAAGAGGAACTGAGACATTTCCTGAAGAGACTGAACTGCTTACTCCTCAGGTGCTTTCCCGCTTTCACATCAAGCCTTTCCCCCAAAGTTCAGAGTGCTGCTGCAAGGAAAGCAGAGTAGACACCTGGAGCCCTGCCCAGCCAAGAGCACCCTCTCCAGGTGTAGTCCTGCCCCCAAAAGCAGCCGCTGCATTAAAACGGCTGCACTAAAACTGCTGCACTAAAACGGGAAGTCATCGCTGTCCTGCTTCCCCTTCTGCTCTCACCTTACAGGTATGCATTCCCAGGATGTGACTGCCCTTTCTCACCCTTGTTCGAGGGGACCACATAGTACTCAGGTCTCAGCGCTTGCTCATTTGGCAGTGAGCTGAGCTGGCCCTTGGTGTCACACCCCTTCACCTGCACTTCTGTACAGCTTTCCATTGCGTAACGTGCATTTAAGACTCTCGCAATCATCCCCCTTCTATTCTCTGCTATGAGTAATCAATCCTGTTTCCTAATTCCTGGGACACATGTGCACTGGTGTCTGCAAGGCCCAAAGCTAGCGATGGAGCTTCAGGGGACCCATCACATAGTGCCTACACTCTTCAAAGCTACATAACATCTACATCTGCATACCCTTCGGTGTGGGAGAACTCAGGCTGCTGCTGCTCCTCACTCGCAGACGAGCAGGGGCACCCACTGGCATTTCCATTTACCTCTTACTGAGGCGACGGAGCTGCCAGCCTTGCCTGTGCTTACTGACCAGTGGTACTCTGTGTTCTGGGAATAGGCTGCTGCCCGCTTCACTCTCAGCCACTGTCTGCAGACGCCCTTCATGTACTGTGGACGCTGATCTACCACTACAGCTAACAAATTTCTTCCTCCATTTCCTTTCAACTCTCACTTGTTCATTTGATATATCCTAGGGGGAACTTTCCTACGTGCTTCTCATTTTTGTTTTTGTTTAAGAGACAGGGTTTCCCTATGTAAATAATGTGCACTCAAAAAACACAATGAATATTTAGATTTTTAAAATATTACAGTAAAAGATACATTGCCATTACCCCCCTCAAAACTCTCCCCTTTGTGTGCAAACCCACTTATTCCGTCCTTCTCGTCACTTCCCGAAGTACTTCTGGGAAGTCCTCTTTTAAGAGTGCTTCGATGCTGCCTCGATGTCCTGAATCAACTCAAAACACTACCAGTTGTGGCCATCCCGACCTTGAGGAAAAGCCAGCGCAAGGCTGTGAATAGCCGGGTAGCAGCCCTCCGTCATAACTTCATCATCCTGTCTCTCTGTGGGATGGCACAGCATTCACCAGATTTTTTTTATCACATCAGAAGGACACTGAGGAAAGAAGATTCCTAGACCTGCTTCAGAAAGTGGCAAGAATGGAATTCAGTGTGTTAGGAATGTATTTTGAGGAGGATTAATAGCAGTGTATCTTTCACGACCAATGTGAGCACTAAATGCAGCTCTTGGCAACAGGATCTGTGTATACCTCCATGAACTCTTCACACCCCTGACCCTTTCTTAACTCCCTGGACAAAAACACCAACTCTGGTTAAAGCAATATTCCTGCTTCTCACCAGCACCAGAATGGCAGACAAAGCAAAAAAAAACACACACACACAAAGAAACTGATCACAGAGGATCCAGCCGGCTCAGTGCCCTAGTGAGTCACCCCACTTCCTTAGCTGACCAGGTTTCACTCAAGCTTCTAACACTGCCTACCCCTCACTCTATGCTCAGCCATTGTGATCTGCAGGCCTGCAGTTGCGTCATCTTCACCCGCTATCCCGCCTGCAGAGCTGGCCCAGTCCTGCCCTCTAGGGACAGGACTACGAAATGATGCCCAAGCAGTCGTGCCCCACTGTAGTCTGGCCACCTGCGAACAGACTGCTGTACCCCCCCACCCCATGAGACACACCCTCCTTTGCATCATAGTCCTTGCCACACACTGCTACTTAGCTCCTCTTGACAGCAAAACTCCTGCGCAGCTGTCTGGACTCAGTGCCCATGCTCTCCATGCCTCCCACCTGGCTTGCATCCTTGTCCTGCCCTCTGTTCAGCCATCGCTGTCAGCAACCACCTGCGTTGTGTGGGGCCATGGGCTCTCATCACAAGCCTGACCTGAAGCAGCACTGACCATACTTCCCCTTGCAGCTTTGGGGCCCTGGTTTTTCTCAGCCCCTGCTCTCTCCGGGTGCCCATCTCCTCTCCTGTAGGCTGCTCCCGGCCTTCCTCACCTTTCAATGCTGGACAGCTCCAGCCCAGCTCCCCGCCGCCCCCCCCCCCCCCCCCCGTTCTTTTTGTGCTGCACATACTGACAACTCTAGAACCTTCA